GGGGGCGCAGGAGGGGGCGGGAGACACGGGGTTGGGGGCTGCCCAGACGCCGAGGACACGTGGGGGACATAGGGGTTGGGGGCTGCGGAAAGGGCGCGGGGGACACGGGGCTGGGGGCTGCCCGAGCGGGGAGAGACGCGGGGAACACAGGGGGTCGGGGGCTGCGGGATGGGGCGGGAGGGCACTGGGCTGTAGGGCGCGCGCAGGCCCTGCGGCGCAGCGGGGCCCGGGGTGGGGGCTGAGGCTGCCCTGGCGCTCAGGACGGGCGGGGTGCGGCGGTCCGCAGAGGACACGGGGGCGGGTAGGAAGTCGAGGGGCGCCCAGCAAGGGGGCAGGGAGTACCGCAGAGCCGGTGCGGAGCTCTGGGCGCGGCAGGGCTGCAGGACGCTGGGCTGGTAAAGGTGTGACCAAGACGCAGCGAGGTGGCTGGTGACTGTGGGGCGGGCAGGAGGTTGAGGGGAGCCTGCCGGGGGGGCAGAGACTGCCCTGGAACGCCGACGAGGAGGTGCAGGGAGCAGGGGTCGTGGAGGCGGCTGGGGTTCAGAGGGGTCCAGGTGACTAGAGGCCAGTAGTGGGGGCCCGGCAGACTGGAGCTGCAGCCATGGGTGGCAGAAACACTGTTGTCGCCCGCAGGCCTGGAAATCTGCGTGGGTCCCTGGAGAGGACGTCTCTGCTAGGCCCAGCTGGGAGCGGAGTGTCCGCCCACTGCGCCCAGGCGCACGCCCTGTTGGTGCCCACCGCACGCAGAGCCTCGAACCATGCCGGGTGAGTGGGTGGGTGTGCCCTGTCCCTGTTCCTCCTGCCGGCACATGTGAGGTCATCGGATATGGGGAGACATCCCCCCTTTGCCCACACGATCCCCCCAAACCCCTGGTTTCCTGTTATTTGTCTCCTGGGTGGCCCCCTGGGCGGGAGAGACTGGCATCTCCGTCTGCCGTTGGAAATGTGGGTGAGACTCAGCAGTGGGGTGCAGGCAATTTATAGCACTGTCAGGGGGGCACCGCCACCTTATAATTTCCTTCCGATTAAAGTAGCCCTGGGGGCTTCAGTGGGCTAGTTTCTGAGAGAGAGTGTGGTGGAGACAGATGGCATGTTTGTGCCCATAGAATGCTAGAAAGACAGTGTTTTCTGGCCTCCTGAATTCAGACCACAGGAGTCATTTGTTATTCCAATAAAGTTCTGGGGTTGATCCCCAGCAGGGCCGCAGGTCTGGGATGGCTGGACAGCTGGGACTTAGGGCAGAGCCTGGCCCCGCAGAGCTCAGATATGGCCCTGTCGCCTGCCTTGGGGTTTGTGGCCATCAGTGTGAGAGCATTGACTTCAGAGGCTTAGAAACACATGGATGGTGCGTGTAACATCCACACGGGAAAGGTGCCCGTCCCACTCTGATTATCAAGACACGTCTGAGCAGCTCCAGACCAGACCTGAACATTACCAAGGACCTTGTTTTTTAGACAAGTGACTTTTTATTTAGAGGAAGGAGCTGGCAACAGGCTGAGTGGGTCCTGCGTCATTTTCCTCGTCTCTGGCCTCAGAAAGCGGATCGCTGGGGCAGGCACTGAGCATGTGGTTTTCCCTGTGGTGGCCTGGTCAGACGCTGTCCAGGGCAGACGCAGAAGTTTTCCTATTCAGGGAGAGGTTTGCAGCTACTGAGACCGAAAACCCCATTTCCCCAAAGCTGCTGGGGTTGTATAATGGCAGCATTCAGCGAGGGACATTCATTCAAACACCACTGCATCGCCCCGGAAATATCCTGGAAGACCCAGTGTGCGGACTCAGCGCTGTGCAGGAAACAAAAAGCCACTTTTCAGTAAAAGAAGATAGGCAGCAGTGGAAGCTGCCTCTGTGTTTTAGGGGATAGTTGGAAGATGGGTTGAGTCGGGGACCAGGGGTAGAATCCCCAGATGCATTATGAGACTCTCAGCCATCGCAGTGTTCAGGCTGGACTTGATTTTGCAAGAATATCTATTTCTTTTTTATTTTTGGCTTGGGATTTTCCTTCTCTATTCCGATGCCCATGGTCCCACCCTCGTGCATGGGGTATGCAAAGACACCCTGTAAATGCAGTGGCCTGGGATAGGAGTGGACGTCTCTGATGTCACCCGCAAACGTGGTCACTGGTAATTTCTTAAAAGCAAGGCCACAAGGCATCTGAAGACTGATGGGTGAACTGTCACCGGCTGCTGCCTGAAATCCACTGCTCCTTGCAGTTGGGAGGGAATACCTCACCCACGTGTTATATTGCAACGTCGTGCCCAGGGTGGCCAGCCTGCAGAGCCTTCAGAAGCCGTCAGAGTGTGAGTTGGGTCTTGGGGTGTCTGGGGAGAAGAGGTCTTCAGTCAGTTGTGCTGAGTCATCTCTCGGTTACTATGATCAATAATTCCTCCACCCAAGGGAAGGGAGAGTCTAATAGTTCCATAAATCCCATCCCGCGGACCCTGCCATGTGTCTCTCCTCTCCATGAATCAGGAAGCTTCTGGACACCTCGGCTTCTCTCTCACCCTCATCGTGCCCATAATGCATGTTCCACCCCACCACAGCTCAGCGAGACGGGGTCCACACGGGCCTCCGACCGCAGACCTCGCCCCGCGGAGCATGGCAACTCTGTCTGCTCCCAGGCCCTCTGAGCTTCCCCTACCTGACACGAGGAGCAGGTGATGTGTGCAAACACATGGGTCAGAGGCGTGAGGTGGCTGAAGATTTATCTGTTCTGGTCTCTGGTTTGATGCCTCTCCAGTGAAGGAAGCCCATGTTTAGGCACAGCGTTGGGTCCAAACAAATCTAGAGCATCGGGTGTAAGTTTCTTAGGTACAACGTGGGCTGCATCTCACGCTGGAAGATACATGACAGGAATGGTCCAGTGTGAAGGGGGTAACATCTGTGCATTACTTCCCAGGCAGAAAGCACTCAATGCTCTTTTCAGGAATATCAAATCAAGTACTTAATAATAATAACAATGCTTCCTAAAGCTCTGCTGGGAATTTTTTCTTTTTTTCTTAGAGGGGCATCCCACCCAAATTGCCTAATATGAAAAACAGAGATAGTTACAATGACAGAAATATAGCCCAGCTGAAAATGGCATCTCGGGCTGAAAAGGCTGTGGATGGTGAAATTACACCATCAGGGGTCAGTGGGGGAGCGCGATGCTCCCTCCCTCACGGTGGGCGCCACGAGGCTAGATCTCCTTCCTCAGTTTAATGCCCCGTTATGTTTACTAGGGACCCTAAACATGGTCCATAGATGGGGTGCCTTAAACAACAGACACTTATGTCTGTCCATCCTGGGGGCTGGACTCCTAGGCCCACGTGTGCACAGGGCTGGTCCTCCTGGGGTCCGTTCTGGTCCCCGTCTTCTCTTGTCATGCCTGAGGACTCCAGTCTCTGTTCCCACCTCGACTTTCTCAGACACATCCGCCTAGGGGTGTCCTGACCCTCAACTCTTTGTGGCAAAAGTCCACCTCTCATCTTTTCCATAAGATTGTTATTTTAGTTTTCATATGTCTACAAATACAATTTGTGTCCCTAGAGACTGAATGCTGTGTTGTTTTAAGTCAGTTGTTTAAAAAAAAAAACTAGACAGATGGATAATAAAGATAAATAGATGCTAGACAGGTAATCGATGTGTAGAGAGATGAGAAGGGATGGATGGACTAGATAGATAGATACATAGATGTGGATGGATGGATAGATAGGGAATGAATGGATCAAACAGATACATACATACATATGTACAAGATAGATGGGTGGATAGAATAGAGGACGGATAGATTGATGAGAGACAGATACATAGAGAAAGAATGGATTTGGATGGATGGATCTATGGATGGATGGATGGATGGATAGATAGATAAATAGATAGATAGATAGATAGATAGATAGATAGATAGATAGATAGATAGATAGATAGATAGATAGATAGATAGATAAACAGATGATAGATAGGGATGGATGGATTAGGTAATAGAGAACAGATGAATAGAATAATAGATAGATACCTTTAGGGCTGCAAACTTGAGTTTACTCTGCAATAGTCAACTCACAGTGTAAGTGCCAGGAATTCTAATATCCTGAAGCCAAGAAAAAGACAAAAAGGAGGGCAGGAGCACGCAGACAGGAGCCCGTTGCAACAGGCGCATTTTGGCATTTACCCCAGTGGAATGTACAGGTCGAGGCGTCAGCCCCAGGAAAGCAGGCCTGGGAAGATTACATCTGTCGTGTTCTATTTTGCGCACACGTGAGTCTTTAAGCCTTGCTGTGCGAACAGCTGCCCCGGGAGAGCACGGTGGCCTGGACAGCAGGACACGCTGGTGATTGAGAACTGAGGTCTGTGTGTCCTGGCCCCGGGCTGCCTGCTGCGCATTTTAATTTCTGTGGGCAGCTCAGTTGCCTGCACCAGGCATGGGTTGCTTGATCCTGGCAACAAGCTCTTAAGGGCCCAAGAATTAAATTGTTTAAAAGCGTCTGTAAGACTTAAGGTCATGAGTGTGCACTTATACAATTGAAATTGCCATAAATTGGATCCGCTGTCAGAGTTTCATCTTCTCCCTTGAGATATGAGGACACAGAGAACATTTTGGTTAATGAAACAAGACAGCTTTCCGTCTGCTGTCTCCTCGGCCTCATATATCCTTGAGTTGATATTTTTCCAGCCATGGATTTGTGTAGAATTTAATGAATGGGCTTGGCTGCCTCCCCATAGAGCCCCATATTGCTCAGCTGAGGAGAGCATCTTCTTGGTAATTCATACAGTCCCCCCACTGTTTGCTATTGGTCCACCTATGATTAGAATATTTGGAGTGAGCTTGGAAGACTTGAATGCAAAAGAAATTAGGGCATCTTGGCTATGCATTTGCGTGGTATTGTGGGAAACTGTAAGCGTGAGTCAGGAGTGTAACCGTGGTGGTGTCTCTCTATCTACAGTGTCTGACCAGGCGTTTGTCACACTGGCCACCAATGACGTCTACTGCCAGGGCGCCCTGGTCCTGGGGCAGTCACTCAGGAACCATATGGCCACCCGAAAGCTGGTGGTGCTGATTACCCCTCAGGTGTCCAGCCTGCTCAGGTAAGATGTCCATGTACCCCAGGGGTTCCTCCTGCCATAGAAACAACTGTACTGTGCAGTCATTACTGACGTAGGGAAATCTGTCACCGGGCATTTTTTTCTATTTTTTTTTTCATACAACTGTCCCAATAAAGCCAAAACAACCCCAGGAAAAAACATACGAGTCTCTCCTTCGATGCCTGTCTACTCAAGGTCAGGACAGGCTGTCACCGATAATGTTCTTCGGCCTTTCAATCTGTGTGAGATGAACTTTGAAGCATTCAGGACCTATCCACATCACAGCAATATGGACCAGGTTCACCGCCGTAGAGCTAATTGAGATTTTAGAGGACCCAGGACATACGTGGTAGTCCAGGGGAGGGTTGAGGAGCCATGACCTATGGTGTGGTCATGCAGAAGATAAGCAGCGACCCATCGCCAGAAGTGACCAGTGGCATGGGTGTTGGGAGACCACCACTCTTCTGGACTGTGGTAATCCTTCTGCAGAGAAGCCAGTCCACAAGCCTATGCTCTTAGTGTCAAACAAATTGTATTTGTGAAAGTTAAATCTACTTCCAGGAGTTTATTTTAGGGGAGCAAGCAGGGCTGAACAAAAGGATTTAAGGCTGTGAATCACAGGGCTATTTGTAGCGACATAGAGTGATATTTCTCTTGCCCTCCACCTCCGCTGTCCCAGTTTTTATACGACCGCAAGGATGCCATAAATTCTGTAAATAACTGGGTAGACAGTGGGAGAAACTAGTGATGAATAGTACTTCCTAAAGGCACAAATAATTGTAGAGTACAAGTCAAAAAACTGCTGAAGGATTGAAAAGATGGGCCCAGAAGCTGCAACACCTGCCTTATAATAGGAACATCAAAAGAATAAAACAGTGGATTAGAGGAAATAACTCACTCATATTTCAGCTCTGAGAGTGGGTTTCAGTTGGAGTGGGTCCCTTGAGTGTTGAGCAGAATGAATGAAGAAAGCAGGAGCTTTGATACAAAGAGATAGTATTTCAAAGCACCAAAAATGAAGAAAACATCCTACATGCATTTCATTACCAGTCTGGTTGCCATCATTGATGCCCCAAAGTTCTGATCAAAACTATTAAATATGCAAAAGCTCAAAACTATTACTTGCTAAGGAACCTAAAGAAAAAATTACTTGAGGATGTACGCAAGCAAAATGAAATATGCATCCAAGAAAGAACTTGTGTAAAAGAATCAGCACTAAAGAAATAAATGAGTAAACGTTAGACTTCATTGTAAATGCATTGGTGCATAATTGTGAAAGTAATCTGGAAATACCACTCGACATGAGAGGTGGGTAGGGGAGAGAAGGGGACGTCCGGTGATGTTCCTGTCTTCTTTGGAGTGAAGATAAAGATCACTATCTTCGTATTTGATAGAAAATATAAGTTCAAATAGGTGTGTTGACAGTTTAAGGATGGTTACCTCCAGAAGACTGGAAAGGATGTGCACAACTTTCAAAATTGCACATTCATGGAAAAGAAAATGCATGGAATAGAAAAAATCTAATCCATGCAGTGGAAGGTGGGAAAGGCTTACAAAGAAGAAGAAAGCATGACAAATGTAAGAAAGAAAATAATGGTGAGGGATTCCATTGAAATGTATCAATGATCATACATTAAAAATTCCTCTTAAGAGAGAGAGACGTTCACCATGGGAAAATAAACATAAAATCCAAAAACAGCTTAAACAACTGCAAAAGTGTTGAGAATAAAGGATTAAAGGATGCATGTGATATTGTATGATTCCATCCATCCGGGACCCCACATTCCAATGGTTGTCGTGACTACCGTAGTTGCTCAATCAATGAAAATTCTTCCTTCTTTCCTTAGGTGTCATGACCTTGACATTTTCAAAACATACCGGTCAGTTGTTTCATAGAATGACTTTCAGCTTGGATTTGTCCAGTGTTTTCTCATGATTATATTGAGGTTATATATTTTTGGCAAAAAAGAAAAATCCTCGGGAGTGGTGAACCTTTTTCAGTACATGTTCTCAGGGAGGAAGTCCCGTTTCTGTGTTGTTATTGGTGACATTAACCTTGCTCAGTTGGATAAGGGGGTATCTATGGGAATTCGTCACTGGAAAGATAGAATTTTTGTGTTTGTAGCTGATAAATATCTTGGGGGAGACACTTTGAAACTACAAAAACATGCTGTTTCTCCTCAGAACCTTTACCCATTGATTTTAGCATCTATTGGTGAATCTTGACTGCAACAGTTAGTGGTATTTGCCTAATGGTGATTTGCTATTTCCCTCATTATTTCTCCATTTATGACGTGGAATTCTTCTGTAAGGGAGCGGTGTTCCTTCTTCCCCATTTCCTTATTTATTCCCTTATATTAATATGGACCCATAAATATTCATTTTATTCTTTGAGTTTACTAGTTTTCTTGCACAAATTGCTTGAGCTTTGCCACTGGAAGCCCCTTCTGGTTGGTTCCCTGTACCCTTTTGATATGTCCTCATCCTTTTTCTAGCACCTTCTCAATTTTCTGGCATAGCAAGATAATGCCAGGCAGGCTATGACAAAGTAGAATTTGACCAACAATAAAAATAAAAAAACTGAAACGGAGCAGAGGTGCATTTCATTTTGACGGAAGGGTTAGTAATCTTTCAAAATGTGAGTCTCAAACTTGTACGCAACTAACAACGTATGTTTTGAATACACAAAGTAAAAATCAACAGGAATTAAGTGGACGTCTATGAGTTCCCACCTGACCCGTGTTCAGTCCTCACTGCCTATGTGGTTTGCAAATAGAAAATACTTTCCTAAGAGATGATGCAAATCAGTCTACCTTAAGACTGCTCAGTATGTCATGCTTCTGAAGTTCACATGAGCTTTGAGCATGGGTGAGGGGTGTGCAAAGCGCACAGAAAAAAATGAAGCCTGGACTTGAAACTACAATGAGCATAGTGGGGATTTGGATCCGTATTCCATGAGCAGGAAAGGGGTGTCCTCTTGAAGGGGTGGCGCGTTCTCTGTTGAATGTTCTCCTGTTCTCGTTGGGCATATGTCTTTTGCAGGGTTATCCTCTCGAAGGTGTTTGATGAGGTAATCGAGGTGAACCTGATAGACAGTGCAGACTACATCCACTTGGCCTTTCTGAGGAGACCCGAGCTTGGAGTCACCCTGACCAAACTTCACTGTTGGACCCTCACCCATTATAGCAAGTGTGTCTTCCTGGATGCAGACACTCTGGTGAGTACAGGGTGATGGTGAGGACCAGACCCTCTGCTTGATAAGGAACTCCTCAAAGACCATGCCTCACCCTCCTTAAGCAGGCTGCTAGCTCTTGCTGGTAGAGTCCCACACGTGACATGCATCTCTATCGCCGACATCAACCTTCAGCCTGTCAGACTCAGGAATGGCATCCCACTAGCATTGCTCTAGACCCTGTGAGCACTCGCAGAAATAAATATGAAGGCTTGTTTCTCTCCTAGAAAGGCTTTATAGTCACACCCTTTCATCTACGCAAAATAGAGTAATTAGAAAAAAATGTTACCTTAATATAATTGAATTATATAGTCCTGATGGGACTGGTACACCTGGCTTCTGAAGCTTTGCCATCCCCCAACTGTCCTTTGGGGCAGTGACTTGCAGAAGAGGAGCCCACGATGGCCAGTTCCACAAACAGCCATCAGAAAGTCAAAATGTGAAATGAAATTAGAGCATGAACGATCCATTCCAGATGGTCCTGACTGTGCAAAAGCCCCTCTATAGGAAGATGGACAGATGCAGAGGAAAATATGAGCAATCGTGTAATCAGAGTAATGTTTCTCTTCTTCCAAACAGAGCATGAGTTAGAAAGCCAGCAGGTGTTGGAGGGCCCTGCAGTGAGTAGTCAAGCTCGGGAAGACAACCAATTCCATTATACGGACCCTCAAACCGCTCTGTTTATGGGCTTCCATAGTTCATTGATCACATTTGCTAGACTAAAGGATATACAATGATGGAAGTTCCATGCAGGATCTTACAAACCTTAAGAAGATATTCTAGTCTTCGAGCCAGTGTTAATTCAATCACTTGAAATAAATCAGTGCTTGAACATAAGCCTAAAAGAAAAGGCCCTCGGAAAATTGGTCCCAGGTCGCCCATCAGGCCATCGTGTGGTCTGTGCTGAATCTTGTGCACGTCTCCCATGCATACAAAGGTGAGCAATGTCCCGGGGACCCCCCTGTGCTCTGTTTAGGTGCTGGCCAACATCGATGAGCTGTTTGATAGGGGAGAGTTTTCGGCAGCCCCGGATCCCGGATGGCCGGATTGCTTCAATAGTGGTGTGTTTGTCTTCCAACCGTCCCTTGAGACACATGGCCTCCTGCTGCGGCATGCCACCGACCACGGCAGCTTTGATGGTAGGTGAGGGGAAGCTGGGAATTAGCGAAAGAGAACCGGGCTGTTTCCAGTACCCAGGGCCCTGCGTCTTCCTCATTTCCCCCGTGTCTGTGAATGGTGAGTCCAAGTCAGCGATGGGGATGGAGGGGTAAGGTGAGGCAGGGCTCTAGGAACGAATGAACAAGTTCATAAGTAAATGTGTAACAGAGGGAATCATTGAAAATATCATCAATGGGTAGAAAAAATGACCCTGCCATCCTGATCACACTGAAGGGGCAGGCAAACCTTTCTCTAACCCAGATAATAAATTTTTCAGCTTCCTGGGCCACTGGGTCTCTGTTGCACATTGTAAAGTGAAAACAGCCAATGTCAGGATGTAAGAAAATGAACAAGGACTGCGTTTCAATAAAACTTAATTTACAAAATCAGATGCACACCCTCATTGGCCAATCAGAATAAAGGGAAGAATTAAAGTGAGCCAACCAGGAGCCAAATATTTGCCCACATGGGGCATTCGTAGATGGGGAAAGTGCTATAATTTGTAGGATGCAAAAGGCAATACCAGATCGATGAAGAATTGGGTAAGGGCGAGGAGTTAAAGACCCTGGCAAAAACGGTTCAAAAGTCATTGTTGCTGCCTAAGAGATTTCACCAGAAGGGGGAGTGGGAAATTTTGGAGACCATATGTGGTTTTATTATTAATTGTTTGGGTTACTGCTGGAGAATTTTGGGGAGAATATGTGCTTTTTGAACTCACGGTATGGGTTATTAGTCGGTTTTGAGATGATAATGTTTTTGGGTACAGAGAGGAAATATCGATGGAAATATCGATCTCAGACCCTTGAAACACATCTTGCACTGCACTTGATTAACCCTTTGGGTGTTTGTTAATTATTTAGGGGCAGATCAAGGCTTACTGAATAGTTTCTTCAGTAGCTGGTCAACGTCAGATATCCACAAACACCTGCCGTTCATCTATAACTTGAGCAGTAACACGGCGTACACCTACAGCCCCGCGTTCAAACAGTAAGTTTGGGGAAAAAAAACAAAAATGAGATCATCCCTTGTTTGCTTTGAATTATGGGTAGTCCAGGCAGCTAGTCTTAATGGCGGTGGTTCCTGATGTGTGGTCCGGGGAATCCCCAGGGGTTCCTGTATCACTTTCAGTGTGTGCACAGTCAAAATGACTTTAAAAAAATAACTTCAAGGTGCTATTTTCTGTGTTCACTCTCATTTTCTGGTAAGAGCACAAAGGCATTTTACAGAAATTCCAGGACATTATCAAATGATGTATGTTATGCAGATAGTTGTGAGGGACAGCTGTCTCTCTCGGGATGGACAATGACACTCTTTTCCCAGTTCTTTTTGGGAAAAATACCGTTATTTTTCATGAAAAAAATATGGAATTAATGTTAACATAATGGCTTAATTTTTTTAGTGAGTCGCTATGCACATTTTCTAATCTCTGTTTTAATTCCTGCCGTGGTCGGCATGTACAGACCGAATCGACAGGAACTGAGCCCTGGGCTCTCTGTGAGTTCTGAGAATGTTGAGAGGTTTTAGGACTAAAATGTTTGTGATCCGTTGCTGTAGGTGATGTTATAAATGCAAATAGAAAATCTGAGAAGAATCTAGGGAATGAAGACGTCAAGAGCATGCATTTTTAACAGGGGTCATATTGCCCCAAAGGCGGCAGAATTTTGTTTCTGGGGAGTGAAAATAACATATCCTTCTTAATGTATAAGCCACAGAGGTTCATACAGAAGATAGATATACAGCGTGAATGTGCTTTTTAAGTTTCATGGGCAGGAAATACTGAAAAAAAATCTGAGGAAAGGTTTATACGTGGCAGGAGTGGTGATAATGGAAAGTAAGACGTTGAGAAGTGAAAAGCCACAATCTGATAAAAGAAGCCAATTCTCTGGTTTGCAGTATCTACTATAATGCCTATTTTTTGGGTTTCTATCATTTTACAGAGAGATGATATGGACTCCTGTCCTGCCTGTCTTTGTAAGAGCCCTGATTTGTTCTTACTGTTTGGGGGAATATCACAATGGGTTATGATTATGGTTCTTGGTAGACAGAAAATGAAACCCTGCAAACCCGGATTGTTTAAACAATTCGGTTTAACCAAAATAACTGCAAGTCAAGGGAGTAATAGTTACCTGATGGTCAGTCAGGTAACTATTTAATTAAAACCTAATTAAAACCTACTGACTGGTCTTTACCTGCTGCTTGTCTGTGATGAGTCTCGGTTGGATGTTTGTGTGTGTGTCTGACCACTTCCAAGGGGAAAGAGGAATCCTTTGTGTTTCCTTCTCAGATTCGGTTCTAGTGCAAAGGTAGTGCACTTCTTGGGGTCCATGAAGCCTTGGAAGTACAAGTACAATCCCCAGACTGGCTCGGTTTTGGAGGAGGGCTGTGGGTTGGTCCACAAGCACCAGCTGACCTTTCTCAACCTCTGGTGGGAAATCTACCACCATGGCATTCTGCCTGTCTTAAAAAGTATCCGGGACGAGCAAGAACACGCATCTCCACGACACCCGGTAAGAGGACAATTCCCTTCGAAACCGAGAGTTGAGAACAGGGGGAAAACTCTCCATGTCAACACTGAGTGTATTTTCTTCAGATGCGACCCCTCTCAGGTCCACATACTGTGTTTCATGGAGAATGATCCCGTAAAGAAAGCCGTTCTTTTTTTGCTGGGGCGGGGGGCGTTCTCCTAATCGTGAGTGCTTAATGAGCTGATATGGAGCTGTGATTTGCAGGACTGATGCATGAATAGATCATTTAAATGAGCCACCTCCATCGGCGAGAGCCACTCCCAGTAAGTGGCTACAGATGATTTATTACGACGTCGTTCAAGCAGACGTTTTCCACTTTAAATCCTCCACCGCAATGGCGAAGGGAGGAACTTTCTGAAGAGAATTTTTTAACTGGTGGATAAACACTCAAGGGATTCTTAAAATACAGGAGGATAACCCTGAACGTGCAAAAGAGTGAAGATTCTGCAGTTGATTTAATATGGGTACATCTGCCTTGCAAAAGAGCTCTTGAAATTAGGTTCCAGGAAACGTTATTTCTTGATCACTTTTTATCAGCACAAAGGTGCGGTGGATTCATCATGAGCATCTACTTTTTGTACAGGTGGGCCTCCGTGGCGTGGGGGTGCCGTGTGCAGATTGGGCACCCGGTGCTGGAGAGCTGTGTGCAAATTCGGTGCCCAGTGCCGGGGAGGCGTGTGCAAAATCAGCAGCGGGGTCCAGCCAGCCTCGTCCTGCTGAGGGTCCTTTGGAGCAGGTGATGGTAGAGAAGGAGGCCCCACCCTCACCTGAAGAATGTCACGTGGAAGACGTAAGTAAATGCCCCACACACAGGTGTGAAAGAGAATCAGAGACCGGCTCCCTCCTGGACAGCTCAGTGAGCCTGCTTCCTGGGCTCCTGGGGGTGGGGGACACGAAGTGGGGACCCCCTTCAGTGTGCACTGACATCCAGGCCTTGTTGAGTTAGATCACTGCACAATTACGCATGGCAGTCGACCCAGTGATGCCCCTCTCCCCGAAAATATCCTACATCCTAATCCCATCCACGTTACTGATACAGAAACAAGATTGTTAGAAGTGTAATTAAGAACCTTGAGATAGGGAGATGACCCTGGCTTTGAAGATGGAGGGTGGCCAGGAGCCCAGGCATGAGGCGTCCTCCAGACCAGCGGGAAGGGCACACATTTTCTCCGGAAGCCTTCGGGAGGACCCCACCGTGCCCACAATTTGATTTACTGCAGGGAGACTGTTGTGGGACTTCTGACCTCCAGAAGTGTAAGATGATCGGTCTGCAATGTTTCAGAACACACAGTTTGTGGTCATTTGTTACAGCAGCTGCAGGAAATGAATACGTGGAGAACAGGTGTTTGGTCTCTAGATACTGGGGTTCATTCAGGTTCAAATGGCAAAGCTTTCATTCTCCCTCAAACTCAGCTGCCAGCCCATGTGGCTCTGCACTGGGAGAGGTTTTGCCAGACTCCTGGCCTTGAATCTGACTTGAATGGATTAGTATGTCCCACACGGTCATGCCAAGTACGTCTGGGTGTGCAGGATTCCACCCTCAGAGAAGACAAAAATGCACCTTCTTTGCAAAATAGAAAATACTCAATGAGGTTGTCATTTCCCCATCCAGGATTTCTGAGAGAGTACTTGGATGAATGCCTGGTGTTTAGAGATTTCTCATTTTAAATCCTCACATTCAAAGGCATTTTTGGTCTCCTAGTTTCTCACAAGACTTTAGAGCTCATCGCTGAGGATGGATTTGGGAATTGGGTTGAAGTCTCTTTTTTTCTGTATTAGTTCCTCTTGATCTGGGACAGCTGTCTCTTGTTGATCATAAACAACCAGTGATTCAGTGTTAGCAAACGTTTATAAGGAAGGCACTACCCTCCACCTTATTGTATAATATGGGATAGATAGGTCCAGGCAACTTCATGCATGAATAATTTTTAAGTTGTGGCTTCCCATGAATGCAAACCAATTGAAAAACCCTCGGGTTTGTAGAATGAAGACAGAGGTAGTAGAAAAATGAGCTTCTCGTAGTTTTTCGTTCTTCCTGCTGTAGTCTGAGTCCTTCATTGCCTGGATCTGGCCACTGGCAAGTGCCTCTTGTGAGTTAAATAAAGGGCATCTGCCTGTTCCAAGAATGTGGAGAATCTGTCAGTTAATCTCAGAGAATGTAGGGCTGCTCCGTCCTCTGCCATGAGGAGCTACACCTGCGACGGGGGCTTTATGAGAGATTAGCCTTCCCACCAAACGTTTAGTGGGCAGTTAGACTCTCCTGAGTAGCCCTCACAAAACCAGTGGTGAGGGTTCACTTTGCACGTCAAGTTGGCTGGGTCAGGGGATGTCCAGATTGCTGGGAAAGCATTCTTTCTGGGTGTGTGTGTAAGGGTGTTTCTGGACAAGCCTAGCATGGGAATTAGGAGCCTGAGTAAAGCAGGTGGCCTCCCCAGCGTGGCTGGGCCACATCTGACCAGCGGAAGGCCTGAATAGAGCAGAAGGGCAGAGGAACGGAGAATTCGCTGTCGGTGCTGGAGGTAGGACATGCCGGCTTCCGCCCTCAGACACTGGCCCTCCTGGGCCTTGGGTCTTTGGACTCCAAATGAGTGACATCTGCAAATGTCCTTGGTTTCCACTTTGTAGACGGCAGACTGTGGGAGTTCTCAGCCTCCCTAGTTGTGTGAGCCGATTCCTGTAATAAGCCTGTTTCTGGAAATCAGTATGCACACTGTCGGTTCTGTTTCTCTGCAAAACCCTGATGCGTGCACAGACTGTCTTTCTAAATCCCTGGTCATCGAATGTTACTCTTATTCCATCATTTCATGGTGTTCATCATTTCATATTAGCGGTTTCCAAACTGGGGCCCAAGTTTTGTCTGAATAAGAATCATTTAAAAGGAATTTTTCATGTGTGGATTTTCTTCAAATCATGGATGATAACCTGTTCTTGACCATGTGCACACCGTTTCATTACCAAGGACGACCACCTTCTTTCAGCAACAAGCGGGTATCCCAGGTCCTTGGGCTGCTCGTGGGATTATCCCAGGTCCTCAAGATTAAGGACTGAGATTTTGCATAGACTCTTAAGGCAGAAACCCACTGGGCGACTATAATCTTGTGGCCCCAGCTGCGTCTGTGCCCACCTCACAAGAACCAGAACCATGCACACAATGCAAAGAGTCCTTCAGTTTCATCGGTACAGTATTCTTCACACCCAGTTCAAATGAACTATTTACTTGCTTATTGTGGGCTCCCTTGGGGCTTCATTTATACCTCAGTGGAAGGCGTGCAGGATGAAGCGACCTGGCATCGGGCTTATTGACGGAAATGTTTAATCATGATGGGAGGGTGGGACTCAGGCGCCCGAGATGCAGGTGAGCTCGCCTGTGTGACCAGGGGCACGTCTCAGACACGGAGGACCTCAGGGGCACAAGGCTGTGAGCCCTTCTGGGTGTTCCTGGAGAGGAGGAGACAGTCAGGGAGCGAGCTCGGGGCTGCGCAAGAGGGCTGGTGGTGACTCAGGAGAATGCATGAACACTGCCTGAGCCCTAAACGCCAGGGGTAGCTAGGTTTGCAGCCCACAGCTCAATATTACAAACCTTGATGACATAAACAGAGCACAAACAAGGAAGAGTCTTTTGGGGTGTCCGCTGTAACCATCCTTGCACCTTTCCACCAGCTCTCTTCACGCACATGCTCACCACGGTGGGCTGTGGTGTGGTGCACGTGAAAAAAAAGTCTCTGTGGCCTGAATACTTTATGGTGAGTGTGTTTCTCTAAAAACGGTAGTCATTCCCCTTTTTAAAAGATGGGGTACTTTTGCAGCACCCACGGTAGTTGCCTTATTTCACAACCACCCCAGTCATCTCTGCAATTGTTTACATGGCCTCACCGCTCCGTAGTAGCCATCCAATGAAGTATGGACTCAAAGTTCCTGAATTTGGGGAGCTAGAACCCCAGTCCAAAAAAAAAGAAAAGAAAGAGATTATTTGCATAGTTCTTCATGACATAGACAAGGTGGATCCTGACCCTTGGATTTTTATTCCAAGTGGTATTCTCTGTACATATAATGATGATGACAATGCCTATGATGAGGTCTCTGCTTTTTGAAAAATAAGGCTGGATATCTATGTACTTGCCATATAAATTAATGCATCAGGAAATGTATTTGCAATGTATTGTCTTCTCAGCTGAGGGTTTTGTCTTGCAGTCCTTGGTAGAGAAATGTAGTCAAGGAAAGTGCAGAGATGCCCGTCAGTTTTTGGAAGTTATTGGCTGTTTTTACTATGGTTCACACACCGTACATCTTTATTTTTAATAGGACTTTCTGTTGAAGGATAGTGTACCTACAAAAAGGGACACCCGTAATAAGTAGACAATCTTGATGGAGTTTTAGAGTGAAAAGCAAATAGCCCCAATCCAGACCCAGAAAGTCACCCCCAAAAGGCGCCATGCACCCTCCCAGATGCCAGGACCTGCTATTCAGACTTTGACCAGTACCTTTCTTTGTGAGTGATTTTCTGCTCCTTATGAGTGGAACCCTATGACATGTTCTGTGAGGTCTGGCTTCTTTCATGTGGCGTGTTTGTGACATCTGTCTTACCAAATAAATCAGTACTTCATTCTCATGAGCCACATGTCATGAAATTGTATGAAAATCGTTTATTGATTAATGTTTCTCTGGATGGACCTGTATAGTTTGAGCTGACACAGATAACCCTGCCAGGAAGAACCTTGTGAGTGCATTTTATTGCCCTTGACATGCATTTCCAGGGGGGTCATATGGCATTGTGGCTAGATCAAAGGGTATGCGTGGGTACCCTTCCTGTTCAGTACATTTCTGCCAAGGATTTGCAGGTAGTTGCCCCTGTAGCAGGGCATGGGACTTCCAGTCAGAGGGCCTGTGAGCATGTGGGGCACCTCCTTCTGGTTTTAGTTTACATGTGTGAGATGACGTTAAGTGTAGGTGAGCCAGTTTTTAGGTGCATGTCAAGCCTTGGCAGAGCCATTTCTGGAAATATTCCATTCGGTGGATGCCCACCTGAACGCTTGCGGTGTACAGAGGGTGCCCCCTGGATATGTTACCATCTGTGAGATTCTCAGCATCATAGTCCTGCTGGCGTGTGCTGAGGAGTCCGGCTACAGCCTGGAGGGGAAGTAACGTGCCTGATGTATTCATTTAATACGTGTGTGTGTGTGTGTGTACGCGTGCACACATGTTCCACTTTTTTAGCTGTTTTTGGCAGGAGACTTACTATGAAACAAGTCGCTGTCTGCCAATTGCTGAAAGTGGAAAAATCCCTCTTCAGTTCTTGAACAGCTTCATATATTTATCTTTTTAGCATTCGCCACCTCCAGCGGTAATGATATTTGTAAGATTATAGGCTGTGGGGAAAGGCAGTGAGTGTTTCCTTCCCCTTTGTTCTAAGTTTACCTGATCGGGGTTTGTTTGTGAGCAGTGTGGACCCACTGTGTGCCCGCTGCCTTCGTTATCTGGCTTCAGGATGCCCTCTTAGCGTGCATCTTCTCAGGCTGAGAGTTCTTCTGGCATTTAAGCTTCTCTCCATCCTTCAGCCTTGACTCCCTCTAAGCCAAGAATCCTTGTCGGGATTTTTCCGCTACGAGTACGCCTTCTTTCAAAGGAGAAAAATAAATGCAGTTTGCTAAAGTCCCATTTTCTATACGGGCATTTTTTCTTACCGTGATGTGGAAAAGCTGATGTGGCACCACACTGTTGTTCAGTTGTTATCTTGGAATCCCCCCCGTGCTTTCTGCACGACATGAGAAGGAGGAAGTGCCTGTTAGTCACTAGGAAGAATAAGTGGAATGCTCATTCCTCATTTTTCAGTGAGGATTGGAAAATTTGTCCGCATTGTGCAGTCTCCATGGCAGACAGTCATCAGGGTGGTCTTGCACGAGTCTTGGGGCCTTTCACAGACTTACTTCCTGACCCTGAATTCATCCGTGTAAAGTAGCTTCTGCAACTAACAGCCCCCAGATACATGGATGAAAATCTAGGCTCATCTATGTTGCAGTCCACTGGGGTGGCAGAGACGTGCTGTGCTCCATGCGGTCACTGAGGGATGCAGGATCCTTCCATGGTCTGGCCCACCTTCTTCTAGGGCGTCCCTTCTCAACTGTGGGTCCCTGAGGGAAAATGAGTTAATTCCTCTCATGCCGAAGCCAACTCTTGTATGCCAAGCATTGAGTTTCTCCTGTGTGTCTGGAATTGTCTCGGCTATATGTCATCCTCGGGAGCATGGAGTTCATCATATGAATTGCCCTCTGCAGGGATTCCTTCCAATGTGCAACCCCTTCTGGAATAGGTTGTTTGAACTCTGACTCATGCCTGGAGATGACACATCTCCTCTCCTCGTGGGTAATAATCAGTCACGTGGCCCCGTTTTGCTGCAGGGAGACCTGGCGTTGGGTGTGAGCCTGGGACGAAACAGCAGACGCAGGCGTGGGTGCGCACAGCGCTCTCTCCATCCTTTCCTTGGAGAGGCAACGCCTGTTCCTTGGAGAGCTGTGCTTGCATCACGGGGGCGGAGAAACGGATGGGGTGCTTGCTTGTCCTAAATTGTTTGTGCTTTCTTTATAACAGATGATAGCTTGGCCTGGTGTTGTGACGTCCCCTGGAGTGATGTGTGACCCATTGTCCCCTCCCTCCCCACAAAGGGCAGACTCCGCAGAGGCCCGAAGCACCCCGGTATACCGCCTTTCTACTCATTCTTCCCGCCCACATCTGTCCACCTCTCTCAGGGCTCATTATTTTCTCATTGTGTGTGTGTCCGTGCAATTCAGTGAACACACCCAGACTTTGTTCTTCATCCCATGACGTATCGGAATGGTCTTCCCAGCGCAGAACCGGGTGCCTTGTGATGAGTGCATTTATTACTTGGGTACAGAAGGTACCCGGTTGTTTATTCAGATTCCTCCTGTGCCCCCTCTGTCATGGTGTTTTCCTGTGGGTCGTTTATTCTCTTTTGTCTTGCTTTGGGAAGGCTTGGTCAAGAAAGAGATACCACATCACTACGGCATACGTTCACCTTTCTTTTTGTAACAATTTTCGGTAAGATTTTGGACCCATGTTTAATATCAGCATGGAAGGATTACAAGCTCCCCGTTTTTCTCCCTAAATTCACCCCTGTGAATCCATGCATCATCAGACTGAAGCCAGACAGACTCTCCTCAGGAGACTATCTTAGCAAAACGCTTCTGTAGACATTTTAATTGCATCTCTCTCTGAAAGATGAACAGTGGTGCATTGCCTAAGAACTTTGCATCTCATCTTGTGGGAGGAAGGGTAGCTCAGAAAAGCAAGAATCAGGGAAGCTCATCTTTCCGTCCTTTGCAGGAAAGGCTATCTAGCACTAATTCGTTCGTGTGATCTTATTTTCCCCAGGCAAAAAGAGTTCTCTGTCATTTTGGTTAAAGCTTCAGTTCTCCGTGGTGCACCCCGGACTAACCGTGACGTGGTTGTGTTTCTAGCAGCCGGTGGATAAACCCGAAGGTGACCCCTTGGAGGAAACGTCATCGGAAGCAACCCAGTGGCCCCCTGTGGATGTCAGCAGGGACCACAGCCCTCGGGATGTTTTAGAGGTGGTATCCTAATCATGTGCCTTGCGCAGCGCTCGTGAGCGACGCTGTCACCATCCCTGGGGCCGCACGCGCGTACACACCAGCTGTCACTTCAGTTTGCAGCCTGGCTTTGTTGAAATTAGAGCCCACCTGCCTCTGTCCGTGCCTCTGATCCATCTGTCTTCTCTCTGGCCTTTGCCTTGGGCAGGTGCTGTGACTGTCTTTCCTGTCCTTGATAACCATGCCCTTTTCTTTCTTAAAACGCTGTTCTGCAGAAGTTAAAATGGGCACGAAGGGGCTTTGCTGTTTCCTTGTAGAGCAAGCATAGAATCTCCCAGCGATCCATTGTCTCAAATGAAGAGAATGAAACTGGGAATATCTGGGAATCTGGGGATGTTTGATCCAAATTAAGCATGCGATGCTTTAAGAATGGAATCATGTCCTGTTCCTGTCTCTGCCTCCTACACGTCCTCATCTGAGCCTCTGTGGATGCATTTCATGGATGCAGTGGCTGTTTATTCTTTCTAACAATGATCTAGTAGCAGTTTGTGGTTTTTAAGTCATAGTGTAGCTCTAAAGCCGGGCGATGAGAACATGAGAAAGTTGGCGTAGAAGGTGTGTGTTAGCTCGGGCTGCGGTGACAGAATCCTACAGGTTGTGGGGTTTTAACAACTGGCATGTATTTTTCTGAGTTCTGGAGGCTGTAAGTCCTTCTAGATCAAATGCTAGCAGGTTTGGTGTCTGGCTCATGGGCAGTATCTTCTCGCTGTGTCCTCACTTGGAAGAGGTGAGGGAGCTCCCTGGGGTCTCTTGATAAGGGCACTCATTCCACATATGGGGGCTCCACCCTCATGACCTCATCCCGTCCCCAAGACCCCACCTCCAGCTATCATCCAGTTGGAGGTTGGTTTGAATTTTGGGGGGACACACCATTCGTTTTAAAGCAGCATAGATTTGGGCTATGAACCACTCTATAATCCCTGTTTTCGTTTGCATGATGCCTTCCCTAGAATGTATCCCTGGAGGAAGTGTGGATGCTTTTTCTTGCCGTTTATTTTCAACCTAGTAAAGGCCAAGGGACTGTTCTGAACTTCCTGCTAGACTGCTTGGTGTCGGGGTTTCTTCCAAAGATCTGCCAGTTAGCACATCGCATGTAGGCTTCTTCAGCCCCTATAATGATGTTGAGGCTTTACAAATAGGATGTCTGGCTGTTCATGGGTAATAATGTGTATGGTGGTTGTGGGAGTGGAGCTGGGAAGACCGACCTTTGATGGCTCAGCCACAGGGAAGGTTTGACACCGTCCCTGGGTTCATTACCATGGAGAACTGGTAGGGTGGGGGGATGAGACCCCAGAGCATGGTCTGGAAAAAGCCGTAGTTAATGCCTGGCTCATAAAGATTAGCTCCAGCCTTCCAAGTATGGCCACATCCTGGCCGCTCCTGGCCGATGGCACCAAACCAAGTCCGCCTTCTGGAGCTGCGCAGGCAGGTGGGGTGACGTATCAGAGACGTGGGCCTTGGGAGCAGCCAGGAAACGGGCTCTCCGTCCCTTGTTTGCTTAGCTGGGGTGTGTTAAGACCGTATCCTACACACGTCTCCACGGTTGCAGAAATGACCATTGCTCGGTATTCTGTATAACACCGTTTTGTAAGATTGAGGGAATTTGTCATTTCCTCAGATACTCATCTCCCGTTGGGGTCACGGATAATGCAGTCAGGGTGCCATTTGGTGCTGAGAGCTTTTATGGGATGGGGCGCTGTGGGCTCCCCTTTAATTTGAGAAAGTTCTAATTCCCAGGAACTCAGGGCGCTCAAACGCAGGGGCTCTTAGAGGGCATGCGTACTAAGGTATCCTGGAAGAGATCTGTGTTCACTCTTGCAGTTTCCTTGGCCAAGAAGGTGGCACGTGTGAATAAAGTATGTGGAAATGTGGGCAGCAGGCAGAACGTATAGGTCAAAATCCTTTAAAACCATTGTAGCAAATAATCAGAGGAGCAACTACTATGTGCCCAGTGGCATGGAAACTCTCTCTGGTGTCCAGTGTCTTGCCACTCAGGCACAGTGTCTGGGAAATACCTGAGTCAACTTTGCAAGACCATGTCTATGTGCATGCGTGCATGTGTGTGTGTGTGTGTGCATCATTACTACCATATACAGGATATGCATATTTTTAAAGGCTTTTTCTAATTCTTGGTAAGACAAACTTCAAGCAAATGTATTTGTTATATTTGTGGACCCACTTGAGTGCCAAAGAAAAGTGAGATGTGTGTGTATGTTTTACACATTTATATACTTACATCTTCTCTCATACACATCCCTTCAGATGGTAGAAACCCTGCCATTGCAAGAAGATGACTATTTAGTTGATTGTTTAAACGGTCTTGACAAGCAGTCCAAAATACTACAGGCTTTGTTTACAAGGGGAATGTTTTCTTCATTTCACATAGTTTGATATAGACGGTGAAACAAAAAACTGAGGTTTCTGGTGGGTGGAAGTGTTACATCAGGGTAGGTGAGTGTGTAAAATGGTTCAGTGTTTGCCAATGAACACACTTCTTAGGGAAAAGGGGACACGTGCACAATTATATTTAATAAAATTCCAAAAAACTTTGGCACAACAAGCATTGTGTTAAGAGGCTATTGTATTAACTTCAGTGTGTATTTCGTTCCCAAGTAAATGCTCCTGGTCCGTGCTCTCCCTGAGAACGTAGATGCATTTGTAGACCCCGCTGTTAAACAGATTGGACACTTTAGGCATCTTCAGAAACCATCTCCTGCGGGTTTGTGTTCCCTAGGTTGACCTGGCCATCTCCATTTCCGAGATTTCCATCGAAGAAAAGGTGAAGGAGCTGAATGCCGAAGAAGAAAGGAGAAAATGGGAAGAGGGACGCATTGATTACATGGGGAAGGATGCGTTTGCCCGCATCCAGGAGAAGCTGGACCGGTTTCTGCAGTAACGCGGGCCGTCGTGCGGGGTCAGACAGCGTCCCGTTGCCTGGTCCCGGCACACGGACATCTGTCTCCTCTAGTCCTTTCAAAGGGAAGCATTGCTCAACGATGTGCCTCTATTTATGGTTGACCAACTGGAGTGCCTCACAAACATGATGTAGACCCTAGGAAATGCACCAGGAAGCTGATCCCCGCCACCCATGCCTTCTCAGTCTTCGTGAGAGGTGCTTCTGTCCACCTTGTCAGACGAGGGGACAGGGTAGACCCTTGGTACGGTCCCTGGTCTGCAAAGGAGCTCTGAAATGGTGCCTTGGACAGGTGCTACCGTATCTATCCTGTGTCGGTGTCCTCTCAGATGTCCCCCCAGAGCTTCTGTCCCTATGCTATTAACACGAGTATATGCATTCAGTACCTCGGGAACCCTTCAGAATGAAAAGTCCTTTTCTGAACGTTTAAATAAGCGTTTACACATCTTGCGCGTGACTTTGAGTTTTAGACTTTGTGACGCGTGTTTGAGAGACGCCACAGCTGCTGTTTCTCTTCTGTAAAAACCAGCAGGGCTCTGGAGTGCTGGTCACAGACGCCCTATTTGGGACATGCCAGAGATATTTGGGAGAGAGTTTCTACCTGGCTTGGGTGATGTCACCTCTTATAAATCCGTGTATCTACCGGATAAACCCAGGGTTACTCTGAGGGATTTGGGGTGACAACTTGCCCACCGTGACCGAATCTGCCTTGTCTTGAGGCTAACCATTTGGGGTCTGTCCTACTGGCCCACTCTTTGCTGGGAGATCGCTACCTCCATGCAAAACGTGTTGAGTCCCTGTGTCCGCCAAGCCATTTCAACTCAGCTCTTCTGGGAGAGCTCTCACGTTTATGAGATTAGATGCTTCATTTCATGAGAAGGCATCGTCTTTCCAAGTGCTCTAAGTTTATGAATTCATACCGTCTGTTGGGACAGCTCGCAGGGTCACTGCTCCTGGCCAACATAGTTAGAATTAAATCGGTCAACGCTGTGCTAAAGACAGGGAAATGTGCTTTTTTAGAAGTTTGAATGGTGCGTTTATGATGCTCATACTGTGGAAAGTCACAGGGTTCATGAGAGTCAGGTTTGGCATTAGGTGAGGGGGCTATGGTGCCATTGGGTGGATGTGGGCCCACGTGAAGCCCTTGAGCCCCTGGGAAGGGAATCTGCATGATGGAATGTTATCAGCTTTGCAAGATGTAGGTTGTGGAGGGGATGTTTCCCCTTATGGCTGGGAGGTCAGTGATCCGTCGTCTCGGCATCACACATATGGTGCTTCTGGGGCTCATTAAAAATAGCCATGTGCACATAGCTTTAGGTGGAGCGGGGTGGGGCGGTCATCAACCATCTGAGTAATAAATTCGTCCTGGGGATAGACCGGTGGTGTTCAGGCTCTGTGCTGTGGGCCATGACAAACAGAAGCCGGAGTCAGATGCAACATCCATGGGATGCGTGTTTGAGTCGGGTTCACCTTCTCTGGAGAAGACAATTCGTGTTTCCAGGCAACGGCTCAGTGACGGGGAATATACGTGCCACACGGACTTGTGTTGTACGTCCTCACATATGTCATCACATCTGGGTGACCGCTCCTGCGTTTCCATTAAAAGTTTAAGACAGCACCGTGGTCTCCCCGCTGCTGTGTGTGTGTGTGCGTGTTCTGAGCCATCAGGATAAGGTTTCTTATGGAGTACGTTGGTCTTCGTCCTGCAGTCAGTTTGAATTGCCAGGTGGGTTTTTCAGAATGTCTAGGGACAGTCAGACGCATACAGCTGTTTACTATGCACTGAAAGGGCATAAAGTCTCTTTGGGGAAGAAGCCCCATTTCCTGGCAGGGGCTCCTCGATGCCAGTCATTCCGTCCCTCCACCCATCACGTGATCGTTGAGCTCTCTACATGGCAGACAATCGAACATGTGCCAGATCCGTACACAAGAAGTTCAGGAACACTTGGAGGACGTGTAAATAACATCCACATGTAATATGCTGCTATTACTGAGTCATCCCAGACTCTATGCTGTATATTGTGTAATGTCAGGACTACAGAATTGTCACTGAGTCCCCAACAGATGTGATTTGACTTAGATGATCAGTAATACACAGAAAAGAGGGATACATATATATTTTTTTGTTTTAGAAATAATTATTTGGAGCAAGAAGAAATGGCATTTCCGATACATACACTTGGTGGGATGGATAAAGGTGTGCAGGTCCAGAGACACAAAGTGTAGGATATTTGTTCCCCAAAGTCCACTGGTCGAGTCCTCCTGAGCACATTGTCTGGCACTCAAATGCCTGTGAACAGTCCCAGTGCTAATGCGTCTCCATGACAAATAGCAAACTCGTTGACACAAAATGGGCTTCTTTCTGGCAAACCTTCCTGGATGAGAAAAAGCAGAGGAATTACATGATTATCTGTTCTGATTTCACAGACTCTGTAGAGTGCAACACTGTTGGTGCGGAGGAGGACACGGCCTTAGGGTTCAAACAAGTGTCTCCTATACCAGCCCCTTTCCATCTTCCTAAGAAAACAAAATTGGAGCATTTTCTCTTGGCACCAATGCCACCTGCTGAAACACTTGGGTGTAACTCTGATTTTACGTAGTATGCAAAATGTACATTGCAGATAAAACGTGTTATAAGTTTGGTAGCAAAAAATTGTCTTCGGGGGCACTTTGCACATAGCATCCATGGCGAGCCGAGAAAATGAGCAGAGGGAATCGGGATGTTCAGAATAGCGACCAAATCCTCCAGGAAATAAATGCTAAGGAGAGTACCGGTCAGTGGGTCAGCCTGGTTGTAAGCCCCTCGCGTGGCTTTCAGAGATGTTTGGCCTTAAGACCCTGAGAATGTCCACTTTAGGACACTTAAGGTCACTCAGAACAGAACCTAAAATATTGGAGGACTTCCCAGTTTTGTAAGGGTGCACAACAGCTCATGTCTCTAGGGAACTTCAGAACCATCTCGTCAGCGACGAGACATGATCTGACTGCCTGGCTGTTTCCCTTGATCTCTTTGTTGAAATCTTTTCTTCTTCGCTGCCTCCTGGTGTGATTCAACCCATGTGACCTTGAATGTGTGTCCAAGGATGCGCACATGGAGTCTGCTTGGGAATTCTGCATTCCCAAGCAGTGGGTCAGTTGGGAATGAAAATATGGAATTGGCCCCCTAGACTTTATAGGAGAGCGTATGCCAACCGTCTGAGGGAGCAAATCCTTTGGGCATGTGTGTTTTTTTTGGAAGCTGATGATTGGCAGCGGCTGAAGAGGCTGGCCTAGCATGGTGCCATCAAGGAGGGTCATGTGGGCTATGACAGAAGACAGTGTCCACTGTGAAAGGATGCTCTAGCAGTTGTGTGCTCACACACATCGCAGGTTGTGTGAGCAATAGCTATGCCCCTCTGTTGGCCCCACACTCACGTGGCCCTCAAATGCATGCGAACAGTCCCAGTGCTAATGCACCTCCATCCTTCCCTGTGGCTGTCACCTGCAAGCCACCCCCACATCCATTCGGGTTCCCTCCTTGGGGGAAGTGTGTTTATCTGGAAACGTCCCACGTGCACTGCCCTTTATCTGCATTTTTTGGGGGTAGGCTTGCCTTGCACATATATGTAAATACTGGAGCATTCATCATGGCAATGCTGTGAGAACCAGTTGCAGTGTGGAAGCAAGAGGTGCATGGGCTGAGCCCAGCTGGGTCCCCTCTGCGGCTTCCCGTGGCTGTGGAGGCTGGAATCAATTGATCCGACATTTCCTAGGTCCCCTGTGGGGAAGACAGAGACCCAGCCTTCAGCTGCGCTGTTTGCAGAAGGATGGACCTTTTCTGCAGTGGACCTTTGGCAGTGGAGCAAGACTGCCCATGAGAAGGCAAAGGCCATTCATACCGAGTGCCCTGACCTCGTCCCCTGGGTTAGGGGCCGGCCAGGTACCCGGCTCTGCTGAGGACACAGGGCAGGTGGCAGCTGTGCACCGATGGGCTCTGCCAGGCTGCCAGAGGCGGGCGCCCCCATGTGGCTTGCTGGGGAGCATTTCAGCTCCCTGGGCGACCCTGTGTGTGGGGGGGTGTTCTAGCACATGCATGTGGGGACCAGACACAGGGAGGCTGCAAGCATGGCCTCCCCATGCTGCCAGGAGGCGGAGTGAAGGACTCGGAGCACCAAGCAGCTGACCACTGAGGTAAGGGAGGGTTCCCAGCCAGGCTGCAGGTGTGGCCTTCTAGGGGTCCCCAGGGAGCTAGTTCCCCTGGCAGGGGCACAGACCCTCCTGGGCATGGCGTTCCATGATCCTGTCTGGGACCACGTGGGCATCTGGAAATATGTCTTCAGAGCCCACCACCCTGGAGAGGAACCAGCCCAGGCGTCCCCTTGGGTCTGGCAGGATGCAGGTTTTCATGCCACGGGGCCTGGGGCTCTGCATTTCAGAGCAGCTCCCTGGTGGGCAAACCACTATTAGACGTAAAGCAGGACCAGCTGTGGTCGCCGCAAACGTGGGGGCCAGTGCCTGCACTGTGCCCTCTCCTGTCCCACCCTGGAGTCCCGCGGCCTCTTGTGAGCAGCTTCCGTGTGACATCGGGTAGCAGGCACAGAATCCCGACACCACCCGTGGACCACGCACAGTGGGTTTCCCGTCTCGTTTCTGACAAGTCAGCTACTTTCTGGTGTCTCTTGAAACCAGATCATTTTGAAAGGGTGAGTGACGTTCACAAACACGCACACCTGTCTTGCGAGCCCGTCTCTGGGTCCATGTGACCCCTCTGTCCTGTGAGGACGGGCTCTCTGCTGGGAGGGCTGATTCTCTGCCTCCGGGAGCCCTTCCTTTCCTGCACACAGCCAGTGTGCACAGCCACAACCCTGTCTGGGGCAGCCCCCATTGGGGCCTGGTTCTAACAGCCATCCCCATGCCACGGCCACAGAGGGCAGTGGCTCAGGTTTGCTGATTAAGTTCTGGTTAAATGTAACCCCTCCGTGGTCTGCAATCCAGCTCCCAGGACCCCAATTTATCCAATATATCCCAAGACATACTAAAAGAAATTGGATCTCCATGTGTAGCCGGTGGGAAGCATGCACTAGAAATGAGAGTGAACCGTGGTGTGTTGTGAGAACAAACCACTAACAGAGATGAAGGTGTGGTGTCATCTGGATGTGCGAACAGCCCTGGGGGTGCAGACAGGCATCCGAAACCAGGCCAAGGTTTGGAAACTTATGAAAAGGTTGATTTGCCTGAAATACAAAACAAAAGCCAATCTATGTAAAGGCAAATAGCATGCACACAAGCACAAAATTAAAAAGCACCCTCAACCAGTTGTAAGAATGAGTCAGTTATGAATTCATACAAGAACCATTTTTGATCACTTAGTATTCCAGGAACTTCGGGCCTCTCCATAAAAGATCTGAAAAAATATATTGATGCCAACTTGAGTTACGATGGTGGGAAAACATGTTAGGAAGAAACCTTGTACGGTTCTTTTCTAGAGCAATCCACTCTGACAGGGGTCTTCGTGGGAGATAGAAGAGGAGAAACATGGATGCAGAGAAGAAGCCACGTGGAGACAGAGGCAGAGGTGAGAGAGACATGGCCACAGGCCTGGGCCTGCCTGGAGCCCCCAGAAGCTGGACGAGGCAGGAAGGAGCCTCCCCTGGGGCCTGTGGAGGAGGGAACACCACCCCGCTATGCCCCTCCTGGACCTCATAGCCCCACCTGGGTCTCAGAGCTGGGGGAGGATAATTCCTGTGGTTTTAAGCTTATCCAAGGTGTGGTGATGCAGGACATGGCCTGGGGCCCCATGGAGGCTGCAGCTGGAAGCAGACTGAACCAGCATGTGGCAGGGGAGGCAGGCTTTGTACCCACAAGAGCGTGGGGGTGGCCCCCCGGTTTCTGTGGGAGGTTGTGGTCGGGTGTTGGAGTAATTCCACAGGCTGGCAGGTAACAAACGGAAGCCAGCGATGCAGGGTGAGTGGGCACTGTGCCAGGCCCGTGTAAAAAAGGCTGTTTCACTCGGGCCACGTTACCCACAGGAGTGGGGTGGGGAGGGACCGGCAGCCTCTCTGGGGCCACGGCCTGTCCTACCCCTTCCTTTTCCTAACGGGAGTTGTTTGGAGCAAAAGCTTTCAAATTTGATCAACTAATCAATCAGATTTTCTTTCATATATCAGGCTTGGTGTCTTATCTAAAAAAATCTCTCCCCAACCCAGGATGACAAAGATTTTCTCCTAAGTTTTTTATTTTCCTAAATGTTCTGTAGATTGATGGCCTCTGTCCAGGTTTCTGGTAGATCTTGAGTTTGTTTTTGTGTGTGGTGTTCCTTTTGCAAGGGGGACCCTTCTGGTGTGCCGGCGCCACGTGTCCCGCACAGCTGTGTCCAGTGAAAGCTCCCTATTTGGATATTCGAGCAGATTCACAGACCCCACAGAGCGTGTGCACACTCACGTGGAGCTCTTGTGAAAAGGCGAGGAGGGCAGGCCGGCTGCAGAGGGTCACAAACAGATGTGCAGAGCTCCCCATCTGGTCTGCACCAAGCGCTGTTGGAGAGACCTCGGTGCCCTAGGCGGGCTGCCTGCAGACACGGCAGGAGAGCGGCCACCATGTCATGCCTCTGCGGTCACTTAGCAAAGCCAGCCTGCCTCACCGGGGGAGGCAGAGCCTCAGCAAAGGAACAGAGCTGGGGGTCACTGCCTGGCCTCCCTGCCCTTATCTTGGCCAAGAGTCAAGGGCCAGATTTGCATGCACCCAGGAGATAAAGAGAGAGGCAGGCGCACGGGACATAAAGGGACCCTGTCAGTCAGCCCAGCTGTGGGTCAATCCTTTCCTGACCCCTGGCTGGCCCCAGGTCCTTAAAAGGTAGGGGAGGGGTGGGAGGGGGTGGGTGGGGTTGCAGAGCGTGCATGCACACACACGCGCGCACACACACACACACACACACACACACCCCAAACTATTGGGAAGTCCACCATGTCAGATTTAGTCACTGCTCCTCTGAGAGCTTAGGCACTCACAGCTTTTGAAAACTTCCACAGCAAACCGCGTCTGCAGCAGTCAGAGGGCCAGGCGGGGCTCCCACAGATACTCAGTTACTGGCACGGAGCAGTGGCTTGCATTCCGGTTGATTCACACTTTTTTTACATCCCCTTGTAAGATCCATAACTGAGAGGAAAATGTCGAAGGCAGCAAAGCTTTATGCCGGCGCTAAGGGGCCCAGTGAGCGGTACCTGAATCCTGCTTTTCAAATGGAGCTTTAGGAAACCCACGCTGATGTTGGTTTTCATGGACTTGTCAGGGCTGCGGTCTGGTGGGATGATTCATGGATTGCGTGGTCGGGTCCCCCTCCCCAGAGTCCTGCACGGTAGCCCTCGCCCCTGGGACCTCAGGCTGTGGCTGCATTTGGAGATGGGGTTCCCTTCAGGAGCCAGAGAATGGGCACCTGTGTGTTTTCTCCCCAAGATCCCCACCCCTGCGATTTCCCTTCCACAGTCCGAAAGGCTCTGAGCCTCGCAATGGTGGTGGGGTCCTGCATCCCTTCTGGTCCATGGAACACAACCCATGTCTGGTTCCTAGGGGCACTTCAGTGCCTCTTTGAGCATCCTGTGGACTTCCAGCTGGGACCTCAGTGGGTGTAGGGGGACAGAGCAAGGTCCCCCCATCATGGGACATGTGGGTGGGGATCCCCACTGCAGGCACCCCAGTGTGTGAGTTATCGCCACACCACCTTCGTCATGTATATGAAGGGGGCCAAGCTGCCTTCCCTACATTTCTCTGCCCCGTGTGGGGTCAAAACTTCCCTCCAGACATCTCGGTGGTCATTTGCTAAATAAATTTGCTTAATCTGGCAGGAAAATGATGCATTAAAAACCTTGATCAGTGCTATAAAGGTTCTCCCACCTTCACGCTGAGGAGAGTAACCCTGAATGTATTTGGGGCCGGTATGTGCCCACCAGATAGAGTGCATTTCTCGACTTCCAGGAATTTCTAAGGATGACAGTTGGAAGCAGGTGTCCTGGGTTGGGACTTGTGGATAATCTCCTTCACGGGGACTCACTCGGCCCTTGTGCTCTTATTATTTTTCTGCCTGGAATGTCGGAATGTCAGTGTGCTGCCTGGACCTTCAGCAGCTATGTTGAGGCCATGAGGCAAAGTCCACATGCTGAGGATGGAAGAACGGGGACGTGGAGCCCTGAGCTGCTCCCCTCTGGGCCTCACATTAGCTGAGAGAGAACACACCCCTCTCCTTGTGTACGGCATTTTTATCCCCAGGGTCTGTTACTAGATCCTCAAAGCAATTTCTAACTCATAAAATGAGGACCCACGGGCAGTGATGTTCACGTGTGGGGTGGAATCAACCATTTCAGATCAGTAGTTCCTCAAGAGTTGACATGAAGCTGTTTTACCTTCCCCCTTTTTTACCCACAAAAGTAGGCATGACTACTTCTGTCCATTATTCTGTGAAGCCATTCACAGGGGCAATGAGTTCCCAAATATGCTTTCAGATGGATAGGTAAAAAAAAAAAAAAGAGAGAAAAAAATCAGATATCAGGACTACCATAACCCCAAGGAATGGGGTACCCACCGTGCCTGTCCCACCTCACAGTGAGCGATCAGAGACCCACTCCCTCTCTACACCATGCTTCTCACAAACAGGACACGTAGGCTGCAGCCACACCATACGGTTTACATCCCAGCCAGTCTCTCCCGGGTCATATCTCACAGCCCAGGCCTTTGGGGGAAGCTGCCCTTGTCCTTTTAAAAAAATGATTCTCCAGCTTCATTGAGGTATAATTGACAAATAAAACTGCATTTATTTCAGGTGGGTGACGTGAGGATTGGATAGACGTACACGTCATAGAAAAATGATCACAATCAAGTGAATGGACACGTGCATCCATCTCAAGTGCTGAGGACTTGCGATCCACGCTCTTGGCCACTGTCCAGCCTGTTAACCACCACCACTGTGCTGTACACAAGACCCAGAACTTACTGGTCCTGTAAGGGAATTTACAGTCCCACCAAACAGTGCGTGAGGGGTCCCTTTGCTTCACAGAGTCGTGAACACCTGCTTGAGGACCCCCATCCTGGAATGAGTGAGGTCACGTCGCGCTGTGGTGTCCATCCTGGCTGCAGGAGCAAAAGGGAAAAGTCCCACAGCACGGCTGCAGCCACGGCTTCCACACGATGTTGCTCAGGGAAAACTGGGGGGGCACAGCAGTCAGGGTCCTCCTGTGCTGCTCCACAGCCTCGCCCACCCTCACCACCACCGCGTAGAACAGGGGCTCAGAGCCGGGGGACAGGGGCTGCGCCTCGGAGGGGTCCCTGGAGAGGTCAAACAGCAAGGGCGGGTGGTGCTGGATCACGCCGTCCCCAGAGCAGGGGCACACGCCTCGGCCGTGGCAGGCCCCCGCTCCCTCGGGGTGGAAGCGCGGTGTCACATAATGGACCTTCCACAGTCTTCCGCCTGAATGCATACAGGGAGGGTGTCAGGGCAGGAGAAACCTACTCAACTGCAAACAACGTACCTAGGTACTAAAAGAATCCTGGATCTTTTAGAAGAATACTGGGGAGTGACCATCAACTATCCCATTGCAGTAAAAAGAAGACAGAACAGCAGAAGGGGGCTTGCACAGCTTGGACATGTGCTTAGCAAATCTGTGTCTGGGCGGGGTAGTGGCGTGAGCACCTACGTGTCTTTATGGTGCGCTGGGGGCAGAGAGGCATAGGGCTTATCCCAAAGGGCTCAGGGATCCAGCCGCAGGGCTTAGGGTCCACCACGCTGTGGCTAATTCCTTCTCCTTTGTTCCCCTATTTTTTTTAACTGTTCAACGTCTCCGTGTTACTTCTAGAAACAGAAGCACCCGGTGTAGCGACGCTTTTGCTACATCTTCAGGGGATTCATTTGGATACATGGCCGGTAATAAAGCCAATCAGAGGAAACATTTAGAAGTGCCGGCCAATCACCTCTCCAGAAATGTGTCCAAGCACTGGCCGCTGCCCTCTTTGAGACACACTGACTGATGAAGGCTTGTAAGAAAGAGATTCGTTCTCTGATGGTGAATTTCACGCGTCCACGTGGCCAGATATATGGTCAAATGCTGGTCTAGGTGTCGCCGTGAAGGTGTTTTTAAAAATGGGATTTGCATTTAAGTTAGTAGACTTGGAGTAAAGGAGGTGCCTTGCCGTGCTGTGGGAGGGCCTCATCCAATCAGCGGAAGGGCTTAAGAGACAAAGGGTGGGGTCCCCCAAAGAGGAAGGAGGTCTGCCTGCAGACCGCAGCACAGAAATCCTGCCTGAGTTTTCTGGCTTTGGACTCAAGATGATAGACTCAGTTCCTTCCAGGCTGCCAGCCTGCCGTGCTGAGCCCCACAACCAGGTGAGCCACTTCTTTAAAATCTCAGATCTCTCTGTCTCCATCCATCTATTCACCTATTTCCATGTTTATCTTTGACTTGTCTGTCTCTCTAATCCATCTGTCTGTCATCTATATCTATCATCTATTTATCCATCCATCTGACCATATCTGTGAATTATCTATCCATCTATATCTATGAATTATCTATCTGTATCTGTTTACCATCTATCCATTCATCCATCTATACCTATGAATTATCTATGTCTATGAATTATCCATCCATTTATATCTGTGAATTATCTATCTATATCTGTTTATCATTTATCCATCTGTACCTATGAATTATCCATGTCTCTAAATTATCTATCCTTCTATATCTATGAGTTATCCATCCATCTATATCTGTGAATTATCTATCCATCTGTGTCTATGAATTATCTACCCATCCATATCTATGAATTATCTATCTATATCTATGTTTATCATCTATCCATTCACCCATTTATACCTATGAATTATCTATTCTATGAATTATCCATCCATCTATATCTATGAATTATCTATCTATATCTGTTTATCATTTATCTATTCACCCATCTATACCTATGAATTATCCATGTCTCTGAATTATCTATCCATCTATATTTATGACTCATCCATCCACCTATATCTGTGGATTATCTATCCATCTATGTCTACGAATTATCTATCCATCTATGTCTATGATTTACCTACCCATCCATATCTATGAATTATCTACCCATCTATATCTATGCATTATCTACCTGCACCTCTCTGTCTATTGTCCATCTGTCCATCCATCCATACACACCCCCTCTTGGCTCCGCTTCTCTGAAGAGCCCCCACCTCACTGGGGGGTGGCATGTACTCACTGTCCTTGTCATACCAGCGTGCCGCGTGGAGATGCTTCCCACAGTAATGAAATAGGAACTCGTGTGCCGAGGGCTCAGCAGCTCCTTGCAGCAGGGGTACCAGGCTGCGGCCATCGATCACCCTGATTCAGTGAGGAGACCACAAGAAACAATCAGACCGAGGCCACATGGGCTGTGTTCTGCACCCGGGGTACAAAACTCCAAGTCTGCAAGGACCCCAGCGGGTAGTGCATGGTGTACCCCAGCAGGTGGTGCATGGAGCATGGCGCAGCTGCAGGCTGCTGAGCAACATACCTATTGCTTTTTTAATACACAGAATTACCATGTTTTGGGGGTTGTTACACAGCACACAACACACACACACACATGCACACACACACACACAACCCATTCTGACCTTGGATATCAACACAAAGTCTTTTTAAATTCCTGCTGGACTGCCCATGACCCTAGTTGAGTGTTAGGGCCACGAACGTCTTTTTAAATCAGAAGAGATTCCAAGACATATTGTCACGTGTATACAGGAGCTGGACCAGAGAAGCCAGAGATGGGTACGGGATCCCAGATCCCCTTCCGTAGGAAAAAAATGAGTATTTTTCAAGTGTTTAATCTGAATTTAATGTAGAAATGTATAGCTTACTTATAATGGTGAAACAGTTTCAGCAGTTTATTTTTAAAGTTAAATTTTTTATTTTGAACACCCTAATTGTGATGGGACAATCGCATGTGTTTAGACCCAGCCAGGCTTAGGTGAAACATCACTCTAGGTATTGCTGTGAAGGCATTTCTGAGATGTGCTTAACCCGACAGTCAGTAGACATTACGTAAAGCAGGTGACCCTTGATAACGACAGTGGGCCTTGTCTTATCAGTCGAAGGGAGTCACTAGCATAGTCGGAGGTTTCCCAGAAAAGGTGGAATTTTGCCTCAAGACTATAACAGAAATTCTGTCTGAGCCTCCAGCCTGCTGACCTGATGGAAGGATTGCAATTTGTTAGCCTCCACAATTGCATGGGCCAATTTCTTAAAATGTCTTGTTTTCTACACACACACATACACATACCACCTATATATAACCTGATGATACACAAATTAATAAACGAATAAAATGCTTTTTTGCAATGAGAAGTTGGGGATAATGGACCTCACATTATTATCCATTCCACAGGAGTTTTTATTTGTTGACTGAAATGCAGTGACATCAAATCAAAGTATTTACTTTTACTTTTTCTGTCATGTATTAGGGTGACTCTTTGGCAATGTGCTCATACGAAGGTGACAATCATGCTGAAACCATATTGTCATGGCGTCATGAATATATAGGTGAGGTTGTGCTTCAGGAGATAGCAAGGAGATATTGCCAAATGCATCAATTTCTAATGCTTTGATCCCCCATTGTTATGCCAAGTATGAAGTTTTACCAAAGCTGCAAAAAGCGTCACTTGCCCCAGTATTTTATGTCATCCTGTGTTTTACTGAGAATGGTTATTTTCTCTTGGGCTGTCCCCTCCACTTGAGGCTGTGAGGATTGCTAAATATTGTCCTATTGTCGATTTTTCCTGCTAAATGTGAGGGGGTGGCAGCTCTCAGGGAATAAGAAGCAGGAAGGTCATCGCACATGTGTGTACCTGTCCTGGGGCACCTCGCCGCCCCCCAGCTGGACCACGGTGGGGAACACGTCCATCAGGCTGGTGGGCTCCTGGATCACCCGGCCAGCCTGCAGCACCCCGGGCCAGCGCACTATCCCTGGGACCCGGATGCCGCCTTCCCAGCCGCCCATTCCTTTACCACCTGTGAGTAAATGACATCATCAGAATTCTCTGGGAGGAAGTCCCACCTGCACAAGCTGGGGGCACCTGTCTCCATATCTGTATGTACGTTTTTATTCACAGATACAGACTCCATGAATCATGCAGATGGATGATTCAAGAATGAGACTTTAAAAACTGCAGTGTAAAAGGTACGATTCCCTTAGTCTGACGTGATATCTGGAACACAGTGGGGCACATATATCTGGGGGTATGGTCACTACGCTACCTTTTATTGAGAATGACATTTGCACTCATTTTATCTTGATCATTTATTTGTATATTTCTCTTTCTCACTAGGGTGTAAACCCTTTAAAGGAGGGGTGTGTGTCCTTCCCTCTCTCTCGCTATCTAGGTAGTACTTGGTCTATAGCAGATGCTCAAGAAACCCCCTTAGAAAGAGCATACTTGTTCACCTCTGCATGTCCCACAAATTCCTGAGTGGGAGCCACTGGCTGCTGACATTGCCTTTCAATGCCAATGTCTACCGACTCACTGTATCTGTATTTACCCGACTTTTGACCCTTATGTTTTTGCACCCATCTTTGAACCCGTATGTCCATGGTCCTCTCTTTGGACCCCCCGCGCCCATGGACCCAGCACGTGAGCCCCAGGTCCACTGATCTTACCTCTATATATTCCATTCCATCCCCCAAGTCGGCCACGCTCATGTGTTGCTTCCAAATGACCTCCATGATCAGAGGTAAAATAGGTGAATGTCGTGTTTTTCAAACCGTTTTCTTCAATGGCCTTCAGAATTTCACCTTTACGAAAACAAGGGACACATCAGGCCAAAGTAAATAAAACAGCATCCGCTCGTTGAACCCAATGCCTCCTCTCTGTGGACATCACCGCTCGCTAGAATGTCATAAAAGGACAGTGGCCACCAGGAGACCATGGGTATGGACGTCATAGCGAAGGATGAAGGTGAGTCTAATTTTTCTGGAACCACCGGATTCAGAATCTTGCATATAAAGATATTGCCCACAGGGGAAACAGAATAAATCCCGAAAGCCAGGATGTCCCCAGTGGAGTGTTTTAAGCATCCCATGTTTGCATGTGTGCACATGTCCATAATCAGTGCATGGAGGTGAGAAACGGTGATTTGGAGGTTCCAGCTCATACAGGAGGAAGGCAGGGTGGTGAGCAACACCGGGGGGAATTGGGATGTGGGGGCCAAGACTCGGGAATGCAGAGCCACCTGCACACCGAGCCATCACCAGGGAGACCACATGGACACCCAAAACCATGAATATAAATATCTGAATCCACAAGGGCTCATGGAGTACAGAAAACACAGGTTTCTAAAACACCTCCCGTTTTGGGGTTCTTCATCCCTTTTCCCGACCCACCACATCATTCGATTTGCCTCAAGACATGCAACCATACACTGCAAGGATTTCAACGTCTACCTTCTTTCAAGAGTCTACAATTCATTGGTCCTCAAGGCCACAGAAGGAAAGTGATTTTGGTCCAACGTCCTGAATGACAGCGATCAGCGCTTCACTTTCTGTAATGTCTCCTGATGTCTTTACATAACAGACTTGGTGATTTTGTGCAAAACTGGGCTAAGAATTCAGAAATGCTGCAAGAGCCCATGACTATGTGAGATATGCGAAGGTTTTTCCCTGTTGTTTGGCGTGTATTCCTTATAGCGACCCGGGTCATGCGGAAATGCCCCATCTGTTACTATATGTTAACGGGGAGCAGACAGTCAGGCTCGGGGGTGCTTCGACTTACCTATGAGCCAATCCATCTCCTCCACGTTGTCTCCGTATAAGCCATGCCGGCTTTTCCCCAGAAACTGTTTTGTGGTGACAAGGGGGATGTGCACGTGTAGCAAGGAGATGCAGAGCAGGAAAGGGCCGTGCTTATTTCTGAAAGAAGAAAAACACCCCTCGGATAGAATGACATCCATTTCCACACACGTGAATCCATCCCATTCCTTCAAAGTAAAGGCGTGAGTTTTGGACACTAATCCACAGGAAAAGGTTGAGTTCTTCAAGCCCGTGTGCTCATAGGGTCTGTGTATGACATCCCACAGAGGACACGTGCTTTGAGAACTCATCCTCTTTTCAACACAGGATGTTCTATTACCTTTCGATGTAGGAAACGGCTTCCTGTAACATAAGACTCGCTGTTCTCTCCAAAACCATGGGCTGCTCGACGACGCGATGGTTTCTCATCAGGATGCAATTCCAGCGACGGACGAAGCCGAAGCTGGCGTACCAGGAGGCGAAGAACAGAAAGACGATGCTGGCCGCGCCGACGACCGCCTTCCAGGGAATGGAGATTAACCGGCAGGTTTTGCCGACCGCACAGGTCAGTAGCCCCAGGGCCATCATCTGGGTGTAATGCCAGAGCTGGGCTCTCGTGTGGGCATCCACTTCTGGGGGTCTGCCGGGGTGACAGTCATTTACCAGCGTGAAAGGCATGCCGTAAAAATAGTCGAATCCGTGGCTCAGTGGGTGATGGCAGTGGTCTGTGCGGGATTCACAGTTCACGCCCTGGTGCCATTTTCCTGAAATTAGCAGCAAAAATGTTTACAAAAACATGCACCTGTAAAGTACTCTGCCTGATACGAATCCCCTTCCCAGAATCATCTGAATGTTCTGCTGAGAAGGAATTTCTACAAATACCAACAGTTGAAGGAGAAAAGGAATATAGCAGAAAGGACTATCATAAAAATTTTAAATGGAAAAGAGTAAAATGGGTTCATTGGATATCGATGTTTAAATGAATACATTATGCTCCATGGATACTAACGAATGGCTAAATGCGGTGATGGTTATCAAGGGATTCAAGGTTTAAGATTTCCTGGAGCATTTGGGATTAGAAGCTTGCACCCCTAGACCGTTCCGTTATTAAATAACTCCCAAAATAGCAAATAGCATTTACTTAAGGATATTTTTTACTTAAGATAATGGGAGCTGGCTGCTGGGTAATCTCGTGACACAGTACAAGTAACTGGCTCCATCCACTGACTAGAACCAAGAAACATGTACGGATTATTCCCCCCAAGACAATGTCATTATAAGATGGAAAATGAGAAACCCCCATTTCAATTTCCTGGAGGATGTCCAAAAATTGAGTTCTCTATGTGTACTTTCTATCTCTTTCGTGGTCCCCAGACCCTCAGCCAGTCTACATTTAGGTTCAAAACAGGATAAAAAACGGTGTAATATACCAGTGGCCAAAATTTCCAAGTCAAGAAGTTAAAACAGGTTCCTCTCCCCCTTTTTCCTCCTGCCAATCACAAACTGTCTCCAGAACCTGCAGGAATCTGTCCTAGATCTAAACCCAGGGAACCTACCTTTATTTCCCTGGTTCCATTTAAGGAAACAAAAAAACTGCAACAGGGTGGGGACTGTGGAGGAGAAACCTTACAGGGCGGTCTCCACCCCAAAATCTGTCTACCATTTGGGGCAGGAAAAAGAGCCTTCCCCCAGTACAGATTGAGGGTGTGGACCAGAAAATACAGATTCACAGAAGGAACAGGCACACAGGTCTGCCATTCTGAACAACATGAATATAAATGCACTTAGCCACGTCTGAAAGAAATCCTACCCACGTAGCAGGAGATACGCAGAAGGCAAGGGATCGGGTATATTGACCCAATGATGGTATTGCTAATGGAACGTTCTGGTGGATTCAGGCAGCTAAGAAGCCTTGTTCTTATTCTTAGAATTGAAGACAGAGTGTGTAGATGTGGAAAAAGTGCCCAAACATGCCCTTGGGCATGAGATATGCTGTAGAAGGAATGTTTGCATCCCCCTAAAATTCATGTATTGAAACTGCACCCCACAAGGTGGTGGCCTTTGCAGGTGCATCTTGGGTAGGTGATCAGGTCATGAGGGTGGAGCTTCATGAATAGGATCGGTGCCCTTAGAAAGACCCCAGAGAGTGCCCAGGCCCCTCCTCCACGTGACGACACAGGGAGGAGATGCCACTCATGAACCCAGAAGAGGTTTCTCACCTGACGCTCAACCGGCCAGCCCCTGGATTTAGTTAAATGACTGACCCAGCTCGCCCTTGACCAGGGGGCTGGGCAGACCATTGCTTCCTCTGGCCTGATCATACCCATTTCCTGCAGTGTCACATAAGGATGCTAGTTCTAGACCCACAAAGCTGAGCAAGGAATGAAAGCAGTTGACAAGCAACTGGTCCTCAGAAAGTGGGCAGGAAACGCCCCCAACATTCCTTTCTCTGGGGAGGACCAGAAACCTAGCAGGTCTGAGACCACCATCCCTAGACAGGGCATCTTGGGAGGTTGGCGCCTGGCTCATGTCTGGGCACTGGGTTTGCAGAGGGCTCATGCCAGTCCCTAAATGATACACGTGGTTGCCTGGATCTGGAACCCATTTGCACAGTGTGGCTTGCTGGACACCTGCTTCCCTTCTGGGAGATGGTCTGGCTGGGTGCTAGGCAGTGGTGTCTATGTGACCAGCCCCCAGTAAAAGCCCGCGGTGCTGAGTCTGTAAGGAGCTTCCCTGGTGACACCATTCGGCACATGTGGTCACAACTCCTCGCTGGAGGAATTAGGAGAACCCTGGGTGACCACTATGGAAGCTTGTGCCTGGCAGCCCCCAGACCCTACCCCAGGCTCCTTTCCTGATTCCTGATTTCGCTCTGCTTCCGTCTGGTGTATAAAATCGTGGCTACGAGCACAACGCTATGCCCGGTCCTGTGGGTCGTCCTAGTGAATGCCGAGCCTACCGGTGGTCTTGGGGCCCCCTCACGCCCTCCTTTATAACCAGGGAGCTTCTAACCCTCCCTGCATTTGCTAGGAAGTCACCAATGATCAACTCTGAGGGTTTCAGCATGGACATTTAGGGAGAAATAATCTCCAGAGATGTTTCTGATAAATCAGGAGAGGAGATTGATATGTCCAGGGAGGGACAGAGGCCAATACCCGAAGATTTTGAACTAAAATTTTTGGTTGACAAAATTTAAACACTGTGACCACTGAGACCTCGGATGGATGGGGCACCTAACTGGGGTTCTGACATGTGACTTGTCTCCCCCCTGTAGGAAAACAGATTCTTCAGATCCTTGATCTTCCTGATGGCCGAAGAGGCTATGAGTGTGAGCACCTATGAGGCCGGTTGCATAGCCTTGCTGCTGCAGGATGCTGGCAAACGTGGTTTCATTCTTGGGGAGTCCGCCCGAGCCCCCGTTCCACTGCAGGGCCCGGTATCCATCGCTGGCGTCCATGCCTGTGGAGCAGAGAGGAGGCATTTACTGACCCTTGGCGGTTCTCGCCGGGAGATGGCTGGCCCCACCAGGGGGCACTGTGCAATGCTGGGAATTGTTTTCGGGTGTCACAATGGGAGAAGGGGTGCCACTAGCATCTGGTGAGTGGAAACACCCTACAATGGCCAGGACAGCCCCCACCCTGAAGAACCATACAGCCTTAGGTGCCAATGGTGCTGAGATTGAGAAGCCCGGGGCCTTTGCATGACGGGCTCTGTCTGTCTGTGACTACCTACCTACCTACCTACCTATTCATCACCTATCTGTATCTATTTATGTATCTATCTACCTCTCATCTATATCTATGTAGATATCTATCTATCTATCTATCTATCTATCTATCTATCTATCTATCTATCTATCTATCTATCTGTCTGTCTATCTATATATCTATCTATCTACCTACCTATCTATATCATCTATCTAATCTATATATATATCTCTCTCTCTATCATCTATCTATATCATCTATCTATTTATCTATCTATCTATCTGTGTGTCTATCATGTCTATATCTATCTATCTGTCTGTCTGTCATCTATCTATATCTATCTATCTATCTATCTATCTATCTATCTATCTATCTATCTATCTATCTATCTATCTATCTATCTAACTTTCTATCTATCTATCTATCTATCTATCTATCTATCTATCTATCTATCTATCTATCTATCTATCTATCTATCTATCTATCATGTCTATATCTATCTGTCTGTCATCTATCTATATCTATCTGTCTATCTAACTTTCTTTCTATCTATCTATCTATCTATCATCTATCTATCTATCTATCTATCTATCTATCTATCTATCTATCTATCTATCTATCTATATCTATATCACCTATCTACCTATCTACCTACCTATCTAGGATAGTGGTTCTCATCCAAAGGTGATTCTGACCCCCAGGGATGCCTGGCAATACCTGGAGGCATTTTTGGTCATCAAAACTTAGAAGGAAAAGTGGTTGCTACTAGCATCTAGCAGGTGGAGACCTCAGAATGGGGCTGTGTTTGGAATCACGGTCCTTAAAGAGGGGATCAAGGTAAAATGAGGCCGTCGGTGGGCCCCGATCCCATAGGACTGGTGTTCTTGTAAGAAGAGGAGACGATGACACACACACGCACAGAGGGACGACCCCGTGATGCCACAGGGAGAAGATGCATCTATACACCCAGGAGGAGCAGCCCTGCCCACACCTGGACCTCGGGGTCCGGCCTCCAGGGGCGGGGACATACTGTGTGTTGTTGAATCCTCTGGGATTCTCTTATGGCGGCCCGAAGAGACTAACATAATAATATTCCAATACGTGAATAATCCATTCTTCTGTTGATGGACTGTTTCTGTACCTGGGTCTCTCCTGGCGCTGCTGTGAATATTCTCATGCCTGTATTTTGTACAACATACATGTGTGCACATGTTGGGCACGTCCTTAGGCATTGCTGGCTCATGGGTAAGCATGCACTGCGCTTCAGCAGGCACTGGCAGAGCGATGTGCACAGAGGTCATACAGGAGTGCACCTCCGCCCGCAGCATCTCAGGCATCCGTCTCCCCCTGCCTGGCAACACTTTGAACTGCCTGTCCTTTCCAAGCCAGCCACTCGGCTGGGTGTATGTTGGTATAACTTTGGTTTTTCTTTAAATTCTATAGGGAACATTGTCTCACTATCTTGGCCCCTCCACATCTGGCGCATGTGGAACAGGACCGTTTACCGTACACCCAAAGGTTTAGCACGGCTCTCGGTATGAGTTTTCTTATTGCTACTGTAACAAACCGCCGTAAGTTTGGTGTCCTAAAACAGCACAAATCCGCTTTGTGGCATTCCTGGAGCCCGGCAGCGTCAGGTCAAGTTGGCAGGGCTGCATCCTTGGAGAGGAGGACCACATTCCCTGGCTGGCTGCCCCTTCAAGGCACAAAACGTGGAGGTCTTACCCCAGCCCCACGTCTCCTTCTGTTCCTATGACACCCCTGCCTCCCTCTTACAAGGACCTTTGTGATTATATTGGGACCATCTGGACCACCCAGAATAATGTCCCCATTTCAAGACCTGTAACTGAATCACATCTGCAAAATCCCCTTTACCATATAAGGGAATATTCACCAGATCTGGGAATTAGGATGTGGGATCTTTGGGGACTATGAGCCAGCTCCCCCCCCATAGTCACCCGACACCTGTCTGAAATCATGACTTTGCATCCTTTAAACAAATAAACATGATGTCAAACATAATCTGCTACCACACAAGAGTTTAGGCCTCTGAATGTCCAATTATCGCCAATTCATTTTTTTCTGCACGCCCCCGTGGCATACAGTATCGTTTAGGTAATGCCAAGAGGTTGCAAGGGAACACTACATTTTCACCATTTTCCCTGCCTCTCAACCATGGCGATTGGTAGTGGCGATCAGTGAGTGGCCCGGATCTGCCCCTTTCTTAGCTGTGCCCACAACACCCACCTGACCTGATGGAGTGCCTCCCCGTGAGAAATGCAGCTCTGCTCGGGGTGCAAAGTGGGGCGGCTGCCAGGTGCTGCGTGAATCTGACGCCTTCCTCTGCCAGCCGGTCGATATTCGGCGTCCTGCGCAAACCACACAGATGTCATCGGGAGGAAGGGGATGCGCATGGACCTTAAGCAGGTCCCCACATTGAAAGGCCAGGGATGGATCCGTATTCCTGCAGGGACTTCACGGGGTTTTAGAATTATTCAAGGGTAGGGAAGCTCCTGGCATCCAGTGACCAGGCTGCTGCTGAACGCCCTACAATACACGGGATCCCCTACAATATAGTGCACTGGACAGTCCTGTGGACAAAGAACCCCAAAGGCAGCTGTGCTGGGGTGGAGAAGCCCTTCACCAGAGTGACATGGAAGGAACGGTCCTGGTGGAAAGAATCTGGCGTGGTGTCACTGAGCTCATGGAACAAAATGAGGCCCTGAGCCTGGGCTGTCCCCGTAGCCAGGCACGTAGGTGGTTCAGTGGGTTGAGGTGACCACGGTGTGGCTCACACACACATGTGCTCAGCCCCCAGGGCCATGAATACCTTGAGTCCCACCTGCTACAATAGGCATCGGGGTCCTCAGGCACAGCCCAACCCGGCCGGCCATGCGTGGCCACCATCTGTGCCCACCATGTCCCCTGTAGGACGTGGGGGCCACAATGAGCCTTCCAGCCGGTCTAGCCTGAGGCTCTCACTGTGTGATGGAGCTGACAGCTGTAGGCTGTGTTGCTCTGACCTAGGGAGTCTCCCAGTCTGCTTCCATCCCCTGGGAAGCGGTGGCCGTGCCAACCTGTTTGCGTGCATAGCTGCGTCCCTTAATCTTGCTGTTCTTTGCTCCTCTGTGAGCAAGCCCTATTTCACACACCGGGAATGGTCTTCAAGTGGGATGGACAAAGAGCTCACCCCTTCCTGCCTGCACTAAGGTTCCCTGCGGACGGGTTACACGGCAGAGATACTGGAGTAAGATACAGAGAACAGACAGAAAGATGTGGACGCGGAGGCCACTGGCCAGAATACTTGAATTGTCTGGACTAGAATGTGCAGGACAGCTATGGCCCAAAACTTCTGTAGAGGGCAGGGGGAAACAAAGACACATGGCCCCAAGATAAAAGGTGTCCCTGCAGGGCAGTTAGGGGTGTGAATGGGGGAAATTTCTGGCTGGGATCCTGGGTGTTGTTAAAGGGTTTCAGGAAGTTAATGGTGGTTCATGACCCTTATCTACTGAGAAAAAGAGGCCCTTAGTGTCCGTGTCCTCCTGACATTGTAGGGAGAGGATGGAGACTTGACCTGGGGCTTTGCTGAGCAGGTGGGCAACCTCAGGCTAAGGGTCACTGTGCCGGCGATACTATATTCTTTTACGTGAGCCACTTTCTAAGTCCTGTGGTCAAGGCCGAAGTCCGAGGTTGGGTTTTAGCGTCAAGACCTTGGGAGGCATAAATGCTACAAATTCAGCCAGACCATCTTCCGAACGCATCACGGTGTGCATTTCTTTTTAACTCCGACGGTTTTGCAAATGTCAAAGACTACATCTCTCATTTTGTTTTTCTTAAGATGGCAAATGTTGCCTGAAAAAGATAAATAACTCATAGCGTTTTCTTCAAAATCCTCAAAGCTAGTGAAGTTCAGCTAGAAATGTTCAGGGCGGAACTTGAAAGAGACGGTCGTTATCCATGCATAGGATTCACGCTTCTGAGATTATTAAAGAGAAAAGCTGCCTGAAAGACTTTTGGGCCCCCTCATGTTATGCTTACAACAAAGATTCTTAGCCAGGGGAGGATCACAAATGTAAGCAAAGTTTGAAGGTTCAGCCACTTGTCTTTGGTCATGTAGCGAGAAAGTGCCAAGTCGGGATAATGCCAAGTCTGTGCAGCTGGAAATCCACTAATGGTGACCTTCGGGGGCTTCTGGCTGCTGCGTGTCAGACATCAGGGTTACAGTGGCATTCATGACGGACTTCCCGCTGGTTCCCGTGCATCAGCCCCGTTTCTGCCTGCTGCATGGTGCTCCTGTCATATTTAAAGACGGGCAGAGAGTCCTCATGGACACGTTTCCAAAGCTGTTACCAACGCTGTTTGCCTGTGGCTTGCAGACCCCTGGAAAACACAGCAGAGGTCGCCCGCATTTCAGACACCTGCTTCTCAGGGCAGGTGAGGACCCCTGGCAAGCCGTTGTTTTCAAAGAATAGTTGTGCTGGTTCGGATTATTCTGGCAGTTTTTCTTATCTGTGGCTCCTGTTTGAAGTGTGACCAACCGAAACATAAAGGCCGTTATTATGAATCACCAGTTCTTTTTGGCTTGTTTTAGTAGCCCAAAGGTAGGAATTAACATTTTGCTTGTCCTAGTACATGATATACACAGGCTTATAGGATTATTTGAAGTATAGTTATGATATTAGTTCTGACCCATCTTTGCCAGTTTTTAAAAAGTTGTATCTCTAGTCTGATATCCAAGAGTCTGTCTACCCATCTATTTATCTATCATCTATCCATCCACCCAACCATCCATCCATCCATCTACCCACCCTCTATTTATCATTTATCTACCTATCATCTATCCATCTATTTATCTACCTATCAAGTTTTTATCTCCTATAGCTGTCTTCATGATTATCCACAGAGCACAATGTGATGAAAAACACCTGAGTTTTCAACGTCCATGTAGGAATTGTTCCCTGCAGAATCTTTTTCTCCCACTTTCTACAAGGTATCTTAAAACAAGAAAAAAAGAAGCTCTTTTAATATATATGAATGTAATCTTAAGTTCTGTGCTTCTCAGGTTATGCCATTCCCTTTTTTCCCCTTACCAAGTAGATTTGCAAATCCAGTCCTTTAAAAACATTACTCTCAAGTGCCTCTCATTTCTTTATGCATTTTTTAAAAAATAGCATTCTGGGCTATGGAATCATAGTTATGTTTATTTAAAAAGGAAAGTATCAGAGTTTCTGAGGGTGGTAGAAATATCCTCTGGTCTCTCAGGAAGGAGATGTGTGGCTTGCCCTAAGTGAGGCTTTTCTGAGATGGGAGATCTCTTCTTCCTGTTCTGTCAATAAAATGAGCAAGGCGCACGTTTATTTGGACTCACTGCTCCGTCTTTTACCACATGGCTGGTGTGGCTTTGCTGTTAGAACACTGGGGGTCCCATTCCTTATTTTGCATCATCGAGCAGAAAGAAATGTGGAGATCATGCAAGGTTTCAGATCACCAAGGGGATTTTATTCAGTCAGTTCTGTATTTTCGAAGACATTTATCTTTTAAAAACATTTATGCTTCATTATTCTGTGTATAGGAAAGATAGTGTGTCTCACGAAGCCCTAGATCGCCACGTAACCCATTCTTACATGGACTTCCAGAAAGGAAATACTGCTGTCAGTTACACCAGGAATGCCACGAACTGCAAGAAGCAACTTAAATTTGCTGATAGGAAGATGAGAAAATGGAGCAAAAACTTGAAACATGAAAAGAAATCACCGGTAGCTGGCAGAATTCTTAAGCAGGGTGTGCCCTGCTGAAACAGCAGACATTCTTGTCCCCAGTCCTGGAGGCTGGACTCCGCGGTCCAGGTGTGGGCAGGGCTGCTCGTCCTGGGTGTACAGATGCATCTTCTCCCTGTCCTCACAGGGTCGTCCCGCTGTGCGTGTCTGTGTTCTCATCTGCTCTTCCTATAAGGACACCCGTCCTATGGGCTCAGGGTCCACCTCATGACCTCATCTTACCTTAACCCTCTCTTTATAGACTCGTCTCCAAATACTGTCCTATCTGAGGTCCTGGGGTGAGGGCTGCAACATAGGGATTTTGGGGGCCACAAGAAAGCCTCTTGCAAGGAGGTGAGGCTCAGAGCATGCAGGGGTTCTTTTGGGGTCTGACAATCCTCTAAAATGCTTTGTGGCAGCAGATGCACAGCTCTGTCAAGATACGAGAAGCCAATGACCTGCACACTCTGAGTGGATGGATAGTCTCTGCTATGATTTGCAACCGCGCCTGCCCACCAGGGAGGAGAGAAGCAAGCATCATTCACCTTATTTGGCAGGGGATGGCCTGGAGGGCTCTGAAGTGTGTACCAAGCTCACGGCAGGCAGCTGGTTGACTAGCAGCCTCAGAACGGATCTACTCATGTGCTGGCTCCCAGAACCTGGGAATAGGACTCCACTTGGAAAAGGTCTTTGCAGATGTACCTAGTGCAGGATCGGAGGTGAGGCCCTCTTGGATTGGGGTGGCCTTAAATGTAACGACAGCTATCCACAAAAGAGACAGAGGAGAGACACAGACACAGAGAGGAAGCCATGTGCAGATGGAGACAGAGACAGGAGGGACCTGACCACAGGTCCAGGGCTTCCTGGAGCCCCCAGAAGCTGGAAGAGGCAGGAAGGAGCCTCCCCTGGGGCCGGTGGAGGGAGCTCAGCCCTGTCCCACCTGGGACCTCAGATTCTGGTCTCCAGAGCTGAGAGGAGATGGTCCTGTTGTCCTTTGTGGTCATTTGTTAAGGTAGCCCTAGGAAGTGCATACACCCACCCACCAAAGTTCCACGTTGTTTGAAAGGTTACAACCTCCTTTTCCTGAGCAAACGTTTTTTTTTTTTTGGTGTGGAGATACCATGCACTAAGCAATTCCCCACTTCTTACAGGTATATTTTAAATGCATCTTTCAGCCAAATACACATGCGCACACCCACCCCGCAGCAGCGCACGGTACCTCAGTGTATTGTTCCCATAGCAACCGAGGTCCCCGATGCCAAGGTCATCTGCCATTATCAGCAGAATGTTAGGTTTAAAGGCGTTTGATGCCTTTACTTCCCAAGTCGTCAGTAGCGAGCATACTGCGAGTAGAACCGGCAAACAGTTCCTGGAGAGAGAAACATGGCCAGGGGTGAACGTCTGCAGGCTGGAAGGAGAAGTCGTCGTTTGGAAGCCGCTGGCTGGTAAGGTACGTGCATTTCCACTCAATTAGGATTTAAGGAGGGGTTGCATCTAGATGTGGGTTCCTTTTGTCCCAATTTGCTTGCCTCGTAACACGCACGGCACAAAACTTGAGCAGGAAAAGGCTGTTTTTGTTTTGAAAGTGTAGGTGTGCCCAAGTTGGGTTCTTTCAAAAATCCTCCTTCCCGCCCCCTTGCAAAGCGGCCTCTTGGGCTCCTGCCTCGGGAAGGCCAGGCCGGAGGGTGAGCGTAGCCTGCAGGCCAGCACCTCCCCTTCCGGGCGCCTGGCCGCGCCCCCGCCCAGTGTCCCCGGAGCGTCGGGCACCGCGAGGGAGGCGGGTCTGAGCCCGGAGCCTTGAATTACGTGGGACGGAGGCGGGATTCCAAGCCCTCCGACCCCGCGCAGCTGCTGTAACCCCGAGGTGAGGCGCGGCCCCCCGAGCCCGGCCGCCAGGGCGCCGGAGCGCGCAGGCCCCCGTGCGTCCGGAGAGCTGGGGCTCCCGGGCGCGGAGTCGGGGCTCTGCCCGCCCTTCCACCGGACCCCGTCCCGGGCTGGAGGGGCTGCTCTGTCCCGCGTCCCCGGCAGGGCGCCAGCCCCCGCATTGCGCCCCGATGCACCAACCGCCCGGACGCTGGGGGGCGCCGGGACTGGGGAGGCGCGCGGAGGGGGCACGGGGAGGAGTCGGCGAGCCGAGGCGGGGCCGGGGACCGGGCTGCGGGGAGGCGGGGTGTGGGGGGCGTCGCTCAGCCGCGCTTCGGGGCGGGGCTCAGAGTCGGGGTGCGGGTACGCGCCGCGCTCCGCAGGGGGCGCTCGCGCCGGGCTCCTTCGGGCCGGAGGCGGGGCCCCGGGGGCGGGACTGGGCGCGTCGTGCGCTGGGGGCGCGGCCACCCGGGGGAGGCGGCAGGGGGCGACAGGGCGTCTCCGAGCAATTCGGATTTGGGGTGCCGGCCGCGCTCCAAGGGAGAGGCCACGGGGGAAAGGGGCGTGTCTGGGGGAGCTGCGTGGGGACGCACAGGGCCGGGCCGGGGGCGTGTCTTAGGCGGGGAGGGGCGTGGCCTGCGAGGAGCCCGGGGGCCATCCTCCCCTTAGTGGCCCCTCCCTGCTTCGCTCTCCCCCCACCCCTGCTCCTTGTCCCGCGTCCCTGCTGGGCCGAGCGCTGGCCTCCAGCTGCGCTTTGCTGACTCCCAGGCGCCCGCACGGCGCGCCCTCCCCGGAGGCCCCTCTCGCCCGGGGGGCGCCCCTCCCCCTCTCCGCCCCTCCATCTCGCCCTCTCGCCTTCCGCCCCAGGCCCGCGTGGGGGCGCGTCCGGGATCCCGCGCACCTGGCGGCCGGCGCGGCGCGTCCGCTCTCCGCCGCGGGTCCCATGGCCGACAGGACCTTGCTCGCTGCGCCCCGCCCCGCGCCGGGACGCGCCCACGGACCTGCGCCCTGTGGGGTGTGGGGCCGCCTCCCGCCCTAATCCGCTTAATCTCCCGGCGGAGGGTTGATTCTACAAACAGGTTTAACGGGGTCCCCGCCGCTTCGGGGCCCGGAGGAGCTGGGATCCCGGCTGGCGCGCCCCCTTTCTGCAGGTCTCCAAGGTCTCAGCCACCAGGCCGCCAGGATGCCTTCGAATTCACCTTCACGAGGGTCCAGGAAGCCAGACTTTTCTAACTGTGGCCAAGGGCGGCGGGCGTGGTTGCAGTGTGAGCTATGCTGGTTGGACCCTCACCTAGGGGGCTTTATACGGGGGTCTGCCTGGCGCTCATGACCAGGGCCTGGACCCCATTAGCTGCCCCGGACTACCTGTGTGTCTGTCTGCCTTTCCCAATCAAGTGTGCAGTGGTGCCAAACGGCAATTGGGGGAGTCCGTTAACCCAAAGCCTGCCCCGAGACCTGTTGGGGGGTGGACACTCGGTTGAATCTCCAGAAATGGACCTGGAGCCTGTGTTTGAGAAAAAGTGGCAAATTGAGCAGCCTTGTGTTTCCCCAGGCAGAGGGTGTTAGGGGCTGAGTTGCATCCTCGTAAAATTCATGTGAAGCCCTCACCCCAGGGCCTCAGAATGGGGCTGTATTTGGAGATGGGGTGTTCAAAGAAGGGATCACGGTAAGTGAGGTCATAGGGCAGACCCTGATCCCTTATAGGACAGGTGTCCTTATAAGAGATGAGGACACAGACATGCACAGAGGGACGACCCCGTGAGGACACAGGGAGAGGACGGCGTCCACATGCCCAGGAGGGAGGCTCAGGAGGCCCAGCCCTGCCCACACCTGGATCTTGGGGTCCAGCCTACGGGACGGGGGACATAAATAGGTGTTGTATGACACCCCCCACCCCCAAGTCTGTGGTCCTTTTTACGGCAGCTGAGCTGACTCCCTCCGTCTGGGACTGGGCATGTGCGTGCACACGTGAGTGTATGAATGGGCAGACAAGATGGGGTAGAGAGGGGTCTGGAGGAAAATGCCCTTCAGGCTGGTGTCCTGTCTGGGGCAGGTCCCGTCCCACAGTGACATCCAGACGCAGCCCAGGGAATCCGCCTCTGAGCCACCACATCCTGGGTTTTCCCCGGATTACAGGGACTTTGCTTGACCAGGAGTAAATCCCCTGGAAATAGGTGCCGTTTGAACACAGCTGGCCCTCAAGGATGTCGAAAATGGCAGAGGCGTGCCCGCGTGTGCCGACATGCACCTGGGCTCACGTCTGGCATCAGCCAGTAAGGATCACCCACCTCTTATTCCTCTGCATGGCTGCTTGACACAGACGCCCCTCTGTTGGGACTTGAGCTCCCCAGCCGGGGCTGGGGTCTTCGCCAGGAAGCCCCCTTGGTGGGAGGAAGTCGGCCTTCACCCCCTCTTGTGTGGCCTGAGCAGCCGAGCAATCGTGCGTACTGTCCGGCTGGGACGGTGGGTCATTTTATTTAGTGGTGCTTGGACAAGACACGATGCACTGTCTTCCTCGACCCGTTCCCCTTTGGATTCGACGCCCCAGGAGTGGATGGGAGACCCTCCCACGGGCGTTGTTCTCGGCCCCCCCGGGGCTGCACTGCTTGGTTCAAGGCTGGCCGTTTTCCCGGTCACACCAGCACAGGGGGAAGGGGCCACAGCACGGCTGCAGCCACGGCCTCCAGACGTTGTCCACCGCAGCCAGTGGCCGCGGAACCTGGCCAAGCATCTGGCGGTGCTGGTGCACGGCCTGTGCCACCCTCTCCATCACCTGGTAGAACAATGGCTCTGTGTCCGGCGTGAGGGCGTGTATCTCGGAAGGATCTCTGGAGAGGTTGAAGAGCAGAGGCGGGTCGTGGCGGGCCACCTGCTCCCCGGAGCATGGGCAGACCGCTCTCCCATAGCAGGCGCCGGCGCCGTCGGGCTGGAACACGGGGGTCTCATAGTGCACTTTCCACATTGTTCCTCCTGTGATTGGAAGAGAGTGGCAGAGGGTGAAGGAGGAATGGGGGCCTGGTGGGGTGCTGCCTCATTGATTCCCAGTGGCCGGGAGAGGGAGCAGCCCCAGTGTCCAGGGAAGGGTGGGTGGGTAGGCAGAGGGTGCTTCATGCATGGGAAGGAATACTACTCAGCCCTGAAGAGGAGAGGAGCCCCAACACGTGCACAGCGTGGATGGACCTGAACCCACGGTGCTCAGGGAGAGACGCAGACACCCAGGCACACACAGGGTGGGGATCCATTCACAGGGAACGCCCAGAGCAGGTGCACACACAGAATGTGGATTCATGGCTGTCAGGGGCTGGGAGGGCTGGGGAGGCCTGCTCATGGGGATGGGTCTCTGGGAGAATGTTCTGGAACCAGAGTGGGGTGGTGCATGTGCTTAATGCCACAGGGTTGCACACTTTAAAATGGTGACTTTTACGCTATGTGGATGTTACAGGGGGCATATGTGTGCCCCCTCCCCGAAGCCCATGTGTGGCAGCCCTGGCTCCCAAGGGGATGGTATTAAGAGGGGGGGCCTTTGGGAGGGGATAGGATTGAGATGAGGTTGTGAGGGAGCCCCCACGACAGGATCAGGGTCCTTCCAAGTGTCAGGAGGACTTGCTTTCCCTGTACTCCGTGCCCCACGTGAGGATGCAGGGCGAGAAGGGGCCGTCTGCCAGCAGAGGAGGTTCCCTGCTCGAACCCAGCCCTACAGCTAGCCTGGCCTCAGACTTCCAGTCCCTGGAACTGTGCGACACCGTGTCTGCTGTCCATACGCCCCCCGCAGTCTGTGGTATTTCCTTCTGGCAGCTTAAGACAGTGGGTTACAGGAGGGGGGATCCTTTCGCTAGTAGGTTTCCTAACAGATGCTCAGAGGTTTAAAACGACAATAGCTGTTCTCAGTGAGGCTGTGCCATGCTGCGCCCTGGCTGGGAGGGACCCAAGAAGATAGCAGGGAGGCGGGAGGGGGCAGCCCGCAGTCAGGGACCATGTCCAGGGTTGGAAGGCTGGCGCCAGACCCCCGCTGAGGATCAGGAAGGGACTCAGACTGAAGGGGAGGGGCTGCATCCGCCTCCTGGGGCATCCAGAGGGGGCTAACCTTGGCTCTTGGGGGAGGCCCCAAGCCCAGCGCCCATCCTCTGCACCCCTGCAGGGCAGCAGGTCTGGAGAAGCTCCCCCTGTGCCACCAGAGAGCAGGGTGTGGCACCACTGGGGGTTGGTGTTTATACACCTGCGCCCTGTGATAAAAAACTCTGGTCTCTCTCTGCCTCTGAACACTGTGGTGACATGTCCAACAGCTTGGCTTTCTCGCCTGCCCAGTCGGGACAGTCACGTCTACCTGCCCTTGTTTCCAGGGAAAAATAAGCTACAAGCTCACCTGGCTCGTGGTCCGTTTCTCTGCCCTAATGCAGCAAATGGACTGAGTGCAAAGAGGGCAGAAAAGGTCTTGGTGGGAGGAGGCTGGCCTGACGGTGCTGAACACACAGAAATAACATTGCAGAGGGCTAATGCCTGGTCAGGTGGTGGAGCGTGGCATGGAGGGCTGTGTGTGTGTGTGTGTGTGTGTGTGTGTGTGTGTGTGTGTGTACTGGTCAGGTGGTGGAGCGTGGCATGGATCTGAGATCCAGTGCCTGAAGGGTGTTCTGGGTGTATGCAGCAAATGGACTGAGTGCAAAGAGGGCAGAAAAGGTCTTGGTGGGAGGAGGCTGGCCTGACGGTGCTGAACACACAGAAATAACATTGCAGTGGGTGAATGCCTGGTCAGGTGGTGGCGCGTTTCTTAGAGGGCTGTGTGTGTGTGTGTGTGTGTGTGTGTGTGTGTGTGTGTGTGTGTGTGTGTGTGTGTACGTGGGGGCTTGTTTCTGAGATCCAGTGCCTGAAGGGTGTTCTGGGTGGCTGGACAGCTCGTGCTGTGGCCCTGAGACAGGACTGCCCGCTCTGGAACGACAGGGCACACAGCTCAGCTGGAGACTGGTGCTTGCAGGGAGGCCGAGAGGAGCTGGCTCACGTCTCAGCAGGGCTCCGGGCCTGTTCTGGCCTGTGTGCACGCGTGCGGTGGGGGGTCTTGGGCAGGGGGCTCTGCGTCCTCAGGACTGCAGGATGAAGGGTGGCCCCTGGGATGCCGTGGAAGAGCCAGAGCTCCAGAATATTCCACATAGACCTACCTCGAAATACAATGGAAACATCCTCTCAGTGACTACGACATGGGGGGCCATCATGGGGTGGCCTGGATGCAGGAGACTAGAGGGTGAATGTGGACTCCGTTATCCACGCTGCCAGGCACCCATGATTGCTGAAAGGGCCATGCGACTGGCTGGCTGTTTTTAAAAAAAAACCTTCAAAGGGGGAATCCTTAACATGGAATCTATGCACCCCAAAGATGTGCCAATAAAAATCAACCCAGATGATGGTAATCCTGAAAAGGATGGATGGCGAAGGACGGAGATTTAAACAAACAAAATGTGCAGTAACTGCCTCAAATAAGGGGGATTCCAAGTGTGGTAGAGTCAGACAGCTGAAGAATGCTTTTGTGGAATGGAGAAATGAGAGTGAGTGAGACCGCAGGGACTAGATAGGGCTTCCCGGGCCCTGGAGGAAGAAAAGAAGATTTAAAAAATGGAGTAATAGGTAAATGGAAATGAAGAAAGGTGGAGCTCTGGAATCAAAGACACAAAACAGAAACCCGTATCATCTATAACATTTACAAATAGAGTTCTTGGGAGAATCCAAGAGTGGGACTTTTGCAAGTGATTCCTAGAAACGGAAAACCTCTGCTAACTCCAGTTAGATGGAGTCATACATAGGGAGACAGTTAAAATAGTTGAATTATTTGCCAAGGGATGAAAGCCTTGGATGAAAGGCATACTTTCTACATGAGAATACATGTAGAAATACCCAATACCTAATGTGTTTGACGCTTACATTTGATTTAGTAAAGACACCAACCTGTCCCCCACGTTACTTTGTACACTGAATGCAACGCTAAGGCATACTCCACTGGGCTTTCAAAAAAATATACTTGTGCTTGATTTTGCAGTTTTCTTTTGGAAAGACAGTTGGGCCAAAATAGCCCAGACATTTTTGAAACGTGAGTTATTCAGTACACATATAGCTGCTGCTACGACAGAGCGAGGCTTGCTACAGGGGAGGAATCGTGTCAAGCTTCAAGACACATGGAAGCCGATGGGTATTAAGAAAACGTACGTGGAAGGTTAGCGACAGACTGGGTCATGTGTATGTGTGCACGTGAGAGTGTGAGTCGGGATGTGAGCATGAATGGGTTGCACTTGCGGGATGAGAAATGCCTCGCTTCACGTCATGGACAGAAACAGGAAAGCCAGGGAAAATCCCGTGGACAACGCCTAAGATGTAGGGAGCCTTCCCTCCCAGATGATGCTGTGACGGACAGCTGGGATGAGGTGGCAGGTTGCTGAGTGATGGGACAACACTGCCAAGGTAAGAAGAGTGCAAAAATGAAAACCACAGGCAAGCAGAGGAGTGAATGGCAGCAGAGCCATGCCGAGTGCCTCGCCCAGCTACTCACTGTCCCGCTGGTACCACCGGGCTGCGTGCAGGAAATTCTCGCAGTAGTGGAACAGGTACTCGTGGTCCGAGTGCTGCGCCGTTCCCAGGAGCAGGGGCAGCAGGTCCCGGCCGTCCACCACCCTGCAGGAGGGGCACAGGGTGTCGGGGATGGCGCCAGGACAGCCTCAGCAAGCTTCCGTGGGTGGGTGCCGGGGAGGCCACCCGCGGCATTCGTGGACACACATCAGTTTGGCCGCAAGACCGTGGAGGACCCGGCTTGCTCTGCTGAGGTTACTGTCCCCAGCCTTGTCAGGGATGCAAAAATAAAAGGTGATGAGATGTCTCCCTGGTTTTCTGTCGGGCTTTCCGCCAGTACAGATGACCTCGTATTGCTCAAGACCTGAAACCATTCCTGTCTTGCACCGGGGTCCCTCCCGGCTTAGGAGAAAAGCCAGATTTGCTTTTGACTTGCAGGGATGGCTGGGTGCATTCATTGCATTTATGGGGCTGCCGGGTGCATTATTCCGGGAGGGGAAACATGCCTGTGTTTCTTTGTTACTTGCCCACTACTTCCTACAGGGTGAGCTTGTGCTGAGAAATACATGTTCATGGACATGGACCGTAACTGCACAGAGAGGTCACTACAGCTTTGTGGGGAACTCAGGGGCCCCCGTGTATATTGCTTCTATCCTTAGAAAAGGTTCTCAGGATCTGGTGTCTCTGATTTTAATCATAAATATTGATGGCAGATTTTTGCAGATGCCTTGGACTTAGAGTGGCTGTAAAATGCAGATCTTACTCTCTGACTTGACGAGTGTTGTCCATCGAAGTAGTGAATTGAGACCTCCAAGGTTTTACTTGGTCAGTTACCATGAAAAAAAAAACCGTAAGTATATATATATATATATATATATATATATATATATATATACACACACACACACACACACATATATATGTGTGTGTTGTGTGTACACGTGTATTATTTCACCTCCAAATATGTATATTCATACAGGCATAAAAACATGCATGGTTTTCTGTGTATATACATTTGGAAGTGAAATATGTATGTGAGTTGTATATACATATATTTCACCTTTATATACATTCATAGACACATGAACATATATTTGTATGTTTATGTGTGTATATGTATATACACACATATTAATATATATATATATATATATATATACACACACATGTATATGTATTAATAAAATGAAGTAACCAGCAATACCTGGCTGAATTTATTTTGCCTTCTAGTAAAACACACTTGCAATGCACATGACATGCAAAATTTTAATCTTTAAAACAAATGATATAGTCTAAATTAATTTGAAAAATTAGTCACCAATTAAGAAAAAATATCAACCAGAGACATGATAGTCAATGTAAGCAAAGAGAAAACAGGAGATTATAAAATAAAGATATGAAATATCTAACTTCTGATGATGAAACAATGAAATTTAAAACATGTATGTTTATGTGTGTGCACGTATGTATTTATATATATATGGATAATAATATAATTTAAACTTGTTTTCGTTTCATTTTTCAAATGGCTGATAGTAATTCCTAGGGAACAATTTGGCTAAATTTATTAAGAGATCCCCTATAAACAGCCATGCTCTTTGACTGGAATTCAATTTCTAAGGGGTCTTTACTAAGGAGGTAAGCTGACATGACAGTATTTGTTTTAAATGTGAAATGAGTGCCCACCTAGAAGGAATGGTTGAAAGAAATACTGTGAAACCATTAAAATTTTTGTCTGTATACAAAGATTCCTAAATATATGTACATAAATATACATAACATTTAAAATGTGTCCTGATGAGATAGCTCTCTCTATATCACCTATATAGATATGATTTATATGTAAAATATATGTAGAAGCTATAGATCTGTAGCTGTACACCTAGATCATATAGGTGAATGTCATGCAATTTATGATTATATAATCATACATATATGATTTTATGATCATATAATTATGATTATATACATCATTATGTCTTCATGTCTAGACTGACAAAATTATGAAATAATTTTTATTCTCTTCCTATTTTCCCCCAAATTATCTATAATTTTTAACTTAAGAAAAATCAGAATCATGTGATACATCACCACACTGCATGGAAAGGCATTTCTCGTGATGATTTCTCTGGTTAGAATGTTTTCAGTGCCAGTCATTGTAAAATGGGTTTTCCTTAAGAATCAGAAGGGAGATAGTCCTCTGTGTGTGAGACGAAGCAGACGCCTGATCCGAATCACAGGCCATCTAGGCATTTTCCCAGATTTTGTGGACGCAAGGGGACAGTGGCCTTTCACACAGCCGTCTCCGTGCAGAGCTCAGTTGTTCTCCCTGGCTGTTCCGTACCTGTCCTGGGGCACCTCGCCGCCCCCCAGCTGGACCACGGTGGGGAACACGTCCATCAGGCTGGTGGGCTCGCCGATCACTCGTCCGGCCTGCAGCACCCCGGGCCAGCGGACTATCCCTGGGACCCGGATGCCGCCTTCCCAGCCACCCATGCCTTTACCACCTGCATTTAAATGTGAACAGAAAAGAACATGGTTAAAAATTCATAAATGGTGGCTTGTCCTGATGATTCCACCTACCTCCTTGCTTTAAAATTCTCTCTCTCCTGTCTGTCTGTTTTAACCATGTGCCAGTATTTAGTTCCTCCCTGGCTTGGATTTTATAGCTTTGATTGACCTGGCTGTAGGTCTTCCAGTCGCTGAGGGACCGACCCCAGGGCATTGCAAAATCCCCCAATTGTCTGAATCAGCAGGCAGATTTTCTAGGAGGAAGAAATTGTGCTGATGGTAATGTCTTCTCTCACTCCTGTTCTCGCCGTGGCATTGGTGTGTTCCAGAGCATAACCTTACGTGGGATGCACCTGTGCATGTTGGGGTCTGTGCTACTAAGCTTGTCATCCCCCCATCACCACGAGCCTTCACTTAGTTCAGTCTCCCTCCCCATGTCACTGAAATGCCTTCCTTGGGAGCCCATCCTGTATTGCTCTTGACGCTTCACCTTTAAGGGTTGTTTGATCTGGGTTGAATTGTTCCCCACCCCCCAAAAACCGACGGGGTTGTAACCTCTAGGACCTCAAATTTGGAAAGAGGATCATTTCCTTTGGAAATAGGAAATTGTAGAGTCTCAGACCCTTCCCCTGCCAGTGTGAAGAACCTTAGGGAGGCTTTCATGTATTTAATTTGCACATGTATATTCTCTTTTTTGTATGTAACAACAGACTGATGCGTGTTAGTCATTATACCAATGCCAGTCTAAACGAATTTTTCACTGATTAAAAAAACTAAGCTTTAAGTGAAAAAAAAGCTGTGCCACGTATATATTTTTTGGCAGCATGTTTTAGAAACTTTGTGGTCCACCCATAATGATGTGTCTGTGATCAATACATCCTAGTGTGAATATAATGTGGATAGCATGGGTGCTCAGTCCCCTTGAATACATTGTCTGGATGTAAGATTCAAACTTGAGTCTATCAGCAGATGAATGGATACATGGAATATTATGTGGTCCTAAAAAAGGAACAAAGGGCAGATACATGCTACAGCGTGGATGAACCTGGAAAACATTACGCTGGGTCAAAAAATCCAGGTGCAAAGGACCAGATATTGCCTGATCCCATTTGAAATGTTTGGAATTAGGGAAATACAGACAGACAGAAATACGTTAGCCGTTGCCAGGGGATGGGAGTAAGGGGGGAATGGAAAATGATAGCAAATAGGGACTGAGTTTCTTTTTGAGGTGATGAAATGTTCTAGAATTAATAGTGGTGATCATTGTGCCAGAAACCACTGAACTGTGCAGAAAAATTCAAATCTGAGCATGACAAATTGTAATTCCTGAATAGAAGGGCAAAACCCTTGTTCAGAAGTGTTTGCAGTCTCCCTTGAGGTGAACGGTCCCATTCCAGGGGAGGGGCTGGGAATTATAGGGAAGAGAGAAAACCTGTAGATAAGGATCTGGAATCTGTCAACCTTACCTTTATAGATCCCATTCCAGCCCCCATATTGGTTATTTCCCATTTGAGCCTCTAAAGATCCCCCGTGATCTGACGTGAAATAAACGAGGGTGCTGTTGGTCAAACCTTCCATGTCCAGCGTATCAAGGATCTGACCTGCAAAGAAGAGATGCGTTTGAGCCGCTCAAAAGAGAACATTATGTTAAAGCAAAGTATTCAGGCTGTGCTGTAGCATCTTGGAACTCTCCATGAGAATGAATTCTTTAGTGTGAATGCATCACGGACTGAACAACAGTGTCATTGTGCTGGCCTGAGCAACATGGACCTCAGATTGACATGGGTCTTTATATAGGTCCTCATTCTTCTTCCAAAAAGTTAAAGGCAAGCTACCAGGGTGCATACTGCATTGGACAAAATTGCAAAAATGTACAAGCCAAGGCAAAAGGTTATTGAGAAAACAGGATAGGGGCCAAGAGGGTCCAGGAGGAAGGCTGAAAATGTACGTGGGTGGACAACAGTTTCCAGTGGTACGTCCAGGCTATTAACGAAAGGGAAGTCCTATTGTTGCAATTCCCAGTGTCTATGATTTTCTTTTAATTGGTTAAGAAGAATGATATTGTTCTATTTCTCACAATAGACAAGAGTTTCTCCCGACCTGCTTCTGGATGAGACCTGTGTGTGCCATGAATGCAACTATGACCCTAGATACATCCTTTTATTGAATGCCTTTTACTTTTAACCCAACTATGTCTGTATATTTAAAGTGTATCCTTGTAGGTTGGGTCTCCTGTTATTATTTAGTCTGACAGTCTCTGCACTTTAATTGCTATTGCAGAGTATTTACATTTAAGACAACAGTGCACACCGTTAGCTCTATGTCAACCATATTGCTCTGTTTTTCTTCTTTGTTCTGTCTGTTCATTACCATTTTTTTCTTTATACTTTCTTCTAGATAAAGATTTTTAAATGTGTGGTTCTATTGACTCTTCTGTAGAAAAATTTACTTTATATAAATTAATACAAAAACATATCAATATATGAATTAATATATTTCTCGTTGAAGAAAACTTTTAGGGTTACAGATAAGCCGAGCAATACTGTAACTGATGCACCCATATTGATACACTAATATTCACCAATAATTGTTCACATTGTCGTTCGCTGTTGGTGGTGTACATTTATGGCTTTTGATAACTGCATGATGTCATGTATCCAGCATGATTGTGTCACACAGAAGTTTCGCTGTCTTAAAAAAATCCCCCGTGTTCTACTTTCCTCTGATGCTACAATGATTTTCATCTAAAGAAATTATCACACAGTTGCTTGTGAGTTTTAAATGGGGACAGAGAGAATGAAGACACTGAAAAGATTCTTTCAATGGCTCATCACGAGTTCCTTGTCTTAAGGAAGGTATGGGGTTTTCAATTCTGTAGCGTAAAATTTTCTGTCTTCATGACTCAATAAGTACTTGATTGCCAAAATCTGTGCATGTATTCATTTAAAGTGTTTTTTCCCAAGTAGTGCCATTGCGAATTCAATTTTAAACACTCAGCGTTTGACATCACATACACTGGCCTGTATGTTCCAATGATTCTTAATCTCTTGCATCCAAGGGCCTCTAGTGGCCATGAGGAGTCAATTTGTCCTCAGGCGTGAGGCTAGCCTCCCTGGGGAAGGAGTGGGACATGAATAATTGCACTAGCATCTTAGAACATCCATCATTTCCCCCCCAAAACCTCATTCGCATCATGCATTTTATACTCCAAGATGATGTTTTCAAAAGATTTTTTAAAGTACATTTCCCCCTAAAATCTCTTGACTACAATTATTCTGCAGGGTCTGGCCCTCTGGGCTCACCATTACATAAAGCCGAGGGTGTCCGTATCTATGCGTTTCCTTGAACACTGAGTCACTCCAGAAATGTTCCTGTCTGGCATGGCAGGTGCTCTCCTAAGCCCAGGGGAGAACAAGGCAATCTTCTCCCCCAGGGAGGCTTTGGGAGAGATAAAAAAAATCAGACCATGTAAAACAGCATTAGGGAGAGAAACAGAGGAAACAGGGTGATGGATACTATAAACCTCGTGGCCCCTAACAGTCAATAACAGTGCAATACACTGACCCAACCTTGTTTACTTTTCCCTTAATGAAGCTCATCTTCTGGTTATTTATCTCCTTTTCTCCTCCAGTTTCTGAATAAAGAAATGCCATTTTCCTGAAAGGCAACAAGTGTGCTGATGTGGCCACGGGCTGACATTCCATTGCACATTTTCCCCTGAAAGAATCACTTACCCACCATCCAGTCCATCTCCTGTACGTTGTCCCCGTAAAGACCATGCAGACTGTTCCCCAGAAACTTCCCAGTAGTAACGAGAGGGGTGTGGACGTGCAGGAAAGAGACAAAGAGGAGGAAGGGTCCTTGCTTATTCCTAAGAATAAATACAATGTGACTGGTCATTTATTTATTTATTTTTGGTGAAACAGGGATTGAGGTCCCAGAGATGCAAAATACAGAGATAGACCATTGCATCATTACGCAAGAATCTATGCTGGCGTGCCCTCCACGATCAGATGCATGAAACTCCTGTTCATTTCTTGGGTTTGAGAATTATTAGTGGGATAACATTTCCCTTCCAAAGTCTATTGAAAAACGAACACTGCTTTTAGACATCTTTTTTTCTTGAAAATTATCATTTTATAACTCTTTATACTTCTAACAACTGTATCTAATAGAACGCCAGACAGCCATCTCAATTATGCTGGTCAAGTATTTCAGTATATCTTCTTGACTCAAACCTTAGCTCATGGACTAAGGGGTATTACATACCCAGTTTCCTTTATATTTGCTGTCAAGCAATAAAGATCAGGACATGACATTGTTACAAACAAACACATTTAAAATGTGATGTGTATCGGGTTATTAATTTCAATTTGATATCCTCTATCTAGGCAATGTCTCACCTTCTCCCTCTCAACATCCATCCTTATGGTCTAATCTACAGACACAAAGTACAGAAACAAAGGTTTTAGACTTATTTGGGGACGTATGAGGCATACCCATTTTAATTCAAAAGCTAATCACCAGAGTCATACCTGACTGCTATTAAGCGATCCCATGAAAAACCCTCTAAGAATGTTGTGCAACAGGATCAGAACCTCATCCCCACCAGCTTAGTTGGGGTGCGAGGGTGTCCTTCCTTCCCTGGAACACCCACTGGGGAGCATGGAGCTGCCTGTTTTGTGTGGCTTTTTATCATTGTCCCCTTGCTGTTGACGGAGTAAGATCCTTCGTCACTCACATTTACATCTGGCATAAAGTTATCAGTAAGACATAATAGTCCTGGTGATAGAGCTTTAAAAAGACTTAGGCTTTATTATAAAGGCTGTTCATGTGATTCAGGCTGTTATGCTAGTTACACAGAGTCCGTGGTCATTGGAGTGCTTATTGGAAAGGACTGGCCCCGCAGTAGAAGGGGGTGGTGGTCAATTTCCCATGATCCGTCCCTTGTTTCAATGGACTTGGTCAAGATGGGCTCAACTTGAGTGCCATCCATGCCCCATTTTACCAAAAAATGTCTTTCCAGGTCAGGATCATTTCTCCATTCATTCAAATCCCCGTTACAGAATAAGACTTCCCCAAACAAGCAGAAGGCTAGGGTGAAGCTGACCCTTCAAAGCTCACCTTTGGACAAAGGAGGAGACCTCTTTGAGAATAAGAGACGTGGTCCTTTCAAAGCGCATGGGCTGCTCGGTGACGGTGTGATTTCTCATGAGAAAGCAGTCCGCATGGACGATCAGGACACCCACAAAATACGAAGCCATAAAGAGTAAGATAGCCACAATGGTCAACCAGATGACCGGTGTCCACGACCACGAGGCCAGGCGGGCGAGTTTCCCGGCCGTGAGCGTCAGGGCTGCAAAGGCCATGATTTGGAAGTAGAACTCGACTTTGTGCTCCAGGGCTACCCGCTTCTCTGACATTTCCCAGTGGACACAATCTCCCATCATGGAAAATGGCATTCCATAGAAGTGGTCGAATCCGTGGCTGAGTGGATGGTGGCAATGATCACTGGAAGACTCGCAGTTGAGACCCAGATGCCATTTTCCTGAAAGGCAAGAAATTCGTAGACAGGACACCTGGCTGACCATCACTTGGGAAGTAGTCATTGCGTGCTTGCCATGTTTCCCAGCACCGGGCAGGTGTGGGTGCAGCGGGCCTGGGGATGAGGTGGGTGGGGAGTATTGGCTGTTATTTGCCCTACGACCTGGACTTCTTGTTTCAGGGGCATGAGGAACCTGTGTGGCCGCATTGTAGGGTGCATGATTTCCTGTGCTGCTGTCACAAATGACCGTAGACATAATTCCTTAAAACAATAAGATTTCATGCTTTTCCAGCTCTGGAGACCTGATGTCTGAGGGCCAGGTGGGCCAGGCTCCAGGGAAGGTCCCTTCCTGCCTCTTCCAGATAATAGTGGCTTCATAGAGCATGACTTTCAAGTTTAATGAATGAAAGATGCTTTCCTACCCTGCACTCATGGTTGGGGTATTGATAGAGACCCTGTGTGTGTCCCCACCACCCAAATACTGTCTGTCATCTAGAAAACCTCACCTGGTTTCCAAGGAAATTCCACAAGGATAGAGTCTCTTGTCTTGAAAACTGATAATGAGCCTGCTGGATTTCAAGTTCAAGGTACCAGCTAGTCTTGCTCTAAGTGATCAATCAATGATACTGTTAATAAAAGTTATTCCTCTAACATGATAATGATAGGGACAGCATGGCCTCTGTCAAGAAACTGTCATCCTTAACTTTTATTTCATTCTATACACGGTGTGGTTTGTTGACATACAGAAAGATGCACATGCAATGTATGGCAGCATGGAGGGAAGTACTGAAAATGGTTACTTAGTGCATCAGCAAATTGTATGAAATGCCAAATATTTCCTGACGCTGATATTTCCTGAGCATCTTCTTTGCACCAAGCAATGTGGGTGTCATAACATCATTCCTGCATGCGTGGAGCTCTCTGTCTACTGGGAAATCAGGCTCCCTCACAACGTCTCATTTCCAAACTTTTTAGTGGCAAATACGCTCCATGCAAAGGTAATGTGCTTAATACTTAAAAATGTACATACCGATGAGTCCTGTGGCATAGCCTTTCTCTTTTAATATTTTTGCAAAAGTTGTTTCATTTGTTGGAAGGCCACCAGACACTCCAGTCCACTGAAGAACACGATACCCATTACTGGAAACCATGCCTGTGATGAATGATGTTCAAAGGAGGGTTAACATCACACACCAACGTTTATCACTTTCATTATTTTTAAATTTAGAATATGTGCTGAAAATCTCCGTTACTCAAAACTGAATCGAAAATTTACTTCCAACATGGCTTTGTCTCATGGGTTGCATTTTTAGCAGCAGAGGAAATGATTAATTAATTGAAAAAGATTATGTGAAGATTTATTGTCTTGTCATACACAAAAACATTCATGGTTAGTTATTTTTGAATTTACTGAGATTTATTTCCCTGGGAAGGATACACACACACAACAAAAGAGAATTACATAAAAAGAGGACACTTAAAAATGGTTTTATGATTTCACCTAACTCGATGTAATCAGGTGGTTCTCAAAATTGTCCGACCATTGCAATCACTTGGGCAGCAGCTTCAAGATATTCTGACACCTGGTTATCACCCCAGAGGTTGTGATCTTAGTTGGTTTCGGGTGGAATTTGGCTTTGGAATGTTTGAAAGGTGATTTGAATGTGCTCCACAAGGTGGGGAACCATGGATATAATTTATCCTGACCCTGATACACCCAGGGCCTCTACCCAAGTGTTCAAAAATGTAGGTTCAATATTTTTCTAAAGCTCTGCACTGTAGTTGAGAACCACTGGCTTAGAGGATGCTGTAAGCCTCCTACACTATGTTGATGAATGCAGCTCAGTTTTACTGGAGACGATTCCAGAGACGATACAGAAAGTGAATATAGTGCTCAAGGATCATCATTTGAGAACTTCGATTCTTTGAGATTTTCCAAAACTTAAAAATGCATCTGGTTCTACAAAGATGAACAGAAGCTAAATAGCTGTTGTGTTGTTAACAAAGACAGCTGAAGTTGGCCAGTATTTTTCTTCTCTAGGTAATGAGAAGGTGTCAGATACCCATAGATATATATGAGGGTCTGTGAGGGTCAGTTTGATTGTCAGCATGGCCAGGCTACAGTCTCTTGTTATTCAAACACTAATCCCCTAGTCTAGGCATCGCTACGAAGGTCTTTTGTAGATGTGGTTAACATTTACAGTCAGTTGAATTTAGCTCAAAGAGATGACCCTTGATAAGGTGCGTGGGCCTCATCCAATCAGTTGAAGGTCCAAAGATAGAGAAGCGTATTCTGCCTCCAGACTGCAGTATCACATCCTTCTGGGGTTTCCAGAATCCTGCCAGATTCCGGATTTGCTGGCTTCCAGAATCACAGGAGCCAATTCCTTAAGATAAATCTCTTAGGTGATAGATGCTTGATAGAAAGATGATGGACGGATAGGTAGGTAGGTAGGTAGGTAGGTAGGTAGGTAGACCTTATTGCGTTTCTTTCTTTGGAGAATGCTACTGTGGGTCTGAAGCATCCCTTGTCCTTCTCCACCACCCAGGAGTCAACTTCCTTAGCCTCAGTAGAAGGATGTCAAACAGTAATGTTATGACATTAAAATTTCAGTGTTCACAAATAAAGTTTTATTGGAACACACATGCCCACTGTGGTGTGTGTGCCATATAGATGTTATCCAACTACAAGGACAAAGTTGTGTAGCTGCAGCAAATTATATAGCCTGCACAGCCAAAATTATTTAATATCTTCCCCTTTTACAGTAAATGTTGGCCAACTCCTGCCTTATATGGTTATCGATGTTACAGTGCAATGAGGCAAGCCCTTCCATGTCACGTTGTCACCTATGGGGCTCTCTCCTCTTACTGACTCCAATCTGATGGTAACTTTGACGCCTGTGTTAGAGGAGTTAAGGGGGGCATGTTCATCTCCAGGTCTGGAGTTAGATATGAAGAAGGACAAACCTGATCGGAGAGGGTATCTGCCTGTTAGGAAAGCGGCTCGGCTTGGGGTACACACGGACGCGGCAGCAATGTGCTGGGTGAGTCTGATGCCGTCCTCTGCCAGGCGGTCGATATTTGGAGTCCTACAGAAGAAAATATTAAGACTTTCATTCCTTAAACACACAGAAAGGCTTTTCCAGAAGCATAGGTACAGGAAATCTGCCCATCAGTGCTGAATACAACAGTCAAGGTGTTCTTAGGCATGAGTAAAAGGCAATGGCCAGAACTTCAAATAGCTCCTGAAACACCGTGGAAACGTTAACTCGATTCTACATTATTTATCCAGTTTCCCCAACACACTATTGGAACTGAGATGGACTTGGTGGAATATCTGGAGTGGGCGGTTCAGAGGTGCCTTCTACCCTGAGACCCACGGTTTTGATTGAAGATCATGGCAAGCAATACATTGTAGGGAGGATTCGGACAAAGCATCCTGGTGGTACCTGACCCGGGTCTCCACGGGTCATTGTGAGCAAGGTAATGGGGTAAGCCCCTTCTAAGACAACCCGACTGGTAGTGACACATGCCGTGACATATGTGGGCGAGGAGGAGGCGGACTTCTCTGAAGCAGTTTCTCGTTCATACCTGAGCCGGTTGGCTTGGCTTGAGGGGCGGAGATGGGAATGGGGGGTGAGCTCAGAGGCAGCAGCAGTGATGTTTGAAACCCTGTGCATGATGGACTGTGCTGATGGAAATCACATTTAAGAGCAAAACGATTCATCGTAGGTAGCATGAATTTGAGGTGGAGTTGGTGCTGGTGTGGGAAGAAGGAAGGGCTGATTGGTGTATAAAGAACGAGAATGCTGCCAATGTTTGGATTGCCCGTATCAAAGGCTGGACACATCATCTGCGGGGTCTGCACCGGGGGCACCGGGTAAGGCATTGTGTACTCCTTGCCTTAAAGTGGTGTTGCCATAGCAGCCGAGGTCTCCGATACCAAGATCATCTGCCATCAGGAGAACGATGTTTGGACGGGAAACAGGTAAATCCCTGCAGGCTGAGGGCTTCAAACTGAGAAGCACACCCATCATTGCAGCCAGCCAGGCCCTGCAAGACACGCTCCCCAAAATGCTTAATGCGGCTTTGCATTTCAAGGGCATTAATTCTGCAAGTGAGAAGTTAGAGTCCCTATTTTCATGGACTTTGATTCTGTCATCCCACCGCAGAAGAGGTTCAGCACCTCTCGGAGGTATTTGATTTTTTTGGTTAAAAACAACATACATTCTCGGCAGTGTATTTGGACTTTCAACATGTTTTTTTGCGGGGGAATGCCCTGGAATCTGTGTTAGGTGATGATTTATGGAAAAGCCTTCTTTGTAGTTTCTTATTATGTAAGGATGGATGACGTCCCCAGAACAGGTGCAGCCCTTTGTCCTTTGCCGCTTCCCCTACTTCCTTCAAGAAGTAAATGGTGTTGAACGGGGACATGTGTGGCACCTTCTCAGGATATGAGCCAGTGAACAAGCACAGAGCCAGGTAGGAGCACAATGCCTGGTCATTCTGAGTCCATTAAAAGTCTCTGTATGTTTAGCGTGAATGTGAAAATACCTGAGGCTGATGCTTTAGATCCCTGATATCCTAAAAGAACTGGGTCTTTCGAGGTGATGGAGCGCAGAGCAGAAACCCCTGGCAGTGACAAATCGGGAGGAACGGCCACAAAGGTTGGCGGCTCCCCCATCGGCCACCACCCTCACCCCTGGAGCGGTGGCTTCAGGACAGACCCTCTTTACGGATGCCGACACGGGCCTGGGCATGAACAGCAGGGTGAAAGCATTCCTCATCCTGAGTGTCATGAAATAAAGATGGGATCTGAGTCTCCAAAGACGGTTTTTGGGGCTCCCCAGAAAACCAGAGATCATGGTTTGGGAAGAGGGATACAGCATCCGTTCCAAGGGGCTCTGGTCAGGGGTCATGGAACGGTGTGTTAACCGGGGGTCCCATGCTCTGTCTCCCAGATTTAGAATCACTTTCCAACTGAGCAACTATACCCTTTGCTGTCAATATGTTGTGAGAACGTGACAGGAATCATAAACAGAGACAGAAACAGATAGATGATAGCACGTAATCTTATCTTACCAAGAATGTTCCAGATGTAACATGTCCTCTACCCTTTGCTGTCCTGTAAGAAATACGGGGGTCTTTAATAACAGCAGAAAAGTGGCTACTTCAATAACTAAATAAACTAGTATGAGACAAAGAGGACAGTTGGACCCTTTCAGATGCTATGAATCAAAAACTGAACACAATGATTAAAAGCTCAAAAACGAATGCTCGTTCCCACCAAAAAGGATTTCAAAATGTTGAACCATGTGTTAAGAAAGTAGACCACGTGTCTGTCCGAGGCCAGATGATACATATTTCCGGCTTTTCAGTCCGTATGGGACTGGCTACTCTTACTTCACTCGGCTGCTGCAGCGAGCAGTCACCTGATCGAATATTGCCATTTTCCAGAAAAACAACAAAACAGACGGGCTTTACCCATGGGCCTCGGCTTCTTGGACCTTGATGTAGAAGGTGAAAGTGAAAAGAAAAGAGAATGCAAAAAGAAATAGTATGTTTATTGATAAGAATGATCTCCAATATATATTTTTTAGTTGGGTTAAAGACATATAGCAAAATTTACCAATTTTACCATTTTTTTAAGTGCACAGTGCTGGGGCACTGCACATGTTCACATGTTGGGCATCCTCCCCTCTTTCCATCTCCAGAATTTTGCATCTCCCCAAACTGAAACTCTGTCCCCATGAAACAGTAGAATCTCACCCCCTCCCCAGCCCCTGGTCCCACCATCTGTTTTCCGTCTCTGTGAATTGGATGATTCAAGGGACCTCCTATACATGGACCTTCAGTGTTTGTCCTTTGACCAGCTTATGTCCCTTAGAATAATGCCTTTAAGGTTCATCCATTTATAGCAGGTGTCAGGACTGTCTTCCTTTTTAGGGCTGCATAATATTCCATTGTATGCATGGGCCATGTTTTGTTTCTATCCCATATATTTTCATGAAAAAATAAGACATTGTTTGGTCTGCTCCCATCTGTGTAAAACAATCACCACAGATGGAGAAATACATGTATTGGCTCATCTATGCAATGATCTGATGGCATGAACTGCTTTCCAGGAACTAGTGAAAACTCGCCGTGGGAGAATCTGACCCTGGGTCAACGTTCCGGCTCTGTTTTCCTGGAAATCGCTGGGCTTCTTCTCACTTTTCCGGTGATTGTGGCTGGTCATTGTTATACCTGACAAGTTATCCTTGACTCTCTTATATCTGACTTATAATCACCAGTAAAAAATCATATGAGGTGTCATTTTACTAAATCTTCAGCGTCCTTCTGACATGATTAGCTACACAAAGGGAGACTATTTTTCTATTCAACTCAGCATGTTATCCCTTAGAAAGCTGCATGCTTTGCTGCAGATGGACTCGAGTGGTGGCTGCCAGGGGCTGGGGCTGGGGCAATGGGGCAGATATTGCTTAAGAAGGCAAACTCACAATAAGGTCTGCGGATGCAATGCATAACCCAGCGACGGTCACCAATGATACTGAGCCATAAAGCCCCGAGTTGCTAAGAGACTACATCTCAATTGTTCTCCACACAGGAAAATAAATGGCAATTGCGTGACGTGATGAAGGTGTTAGGTCAGGCCGACTGTAGGAATGCTATTGCAATATATGAACACATTAACTCCACAGGCTGTCGGATCAACCTTACACCATGTCACCTGGGAATTATGCCTCAATTAAAAAAAAAAGATAGAGAACAAGAGAAAGAAAAGCCCCTCCATGAAGTGTATAAGCCAGAATCTAGCCTCTGATTTTCTTCAGGGGACAGGGAATGAGAATCCGCACTTCCTGGCTGGCCTCCTCCCCGGGGGCAGCAAGCCTGCCTTTGTCACGGTGTTTCGGTTCTGTCCCCAAACCCGGTGTGGCTCTTACCCCAGGCGCCTCTTCAACATCCCGTCCACCTGCTCTGAGATGGCCAAGAATCTCTTGGGGTGACATTTCCCACTCTGTATCCTTTTTTTAAAATTTAATCTGACTGTGCATCCCTCCCCTATGGGGATCTGCCCTTGAGATGTTGTTTTTTTCATCTTTTAAGAAATTTGCTTCTAAAATGTTGCCAGACAGTTTCAAAAGCCTCAGAGGGCCCAGAGAGGGCATGCTGCAAGGGGGGCAGCCCTGGCCGGAGGACGGTGCCTGGCTAGTGCCAGGCGGGGGTGGGGGAGGCACATACCTCAGTGTGGCCCGTCGGCTGGTTCTTGGGGGACCGGCTCCCTGTGCCAGGGGACTGTGCACGCCGGTTCTGAGTCGCAGGCCTCTCCGGCCGCTGCACGCATGTGCACAGCTCCGTTTGCAAAGCCACAGCCAGGATTCCACAGAAGCCAAGCTCGGTTGTTTCAGGGGAGGGGCAGGACGTCTCAGGCTGCTGCCCACAGCCCTCTCTCCAGGTTCCACAGAGCAACGTCTGTTCTTATTTACAAAATGTAACCCTTGCGGAAGGATCCCAGACAGCAGGATTCAGACGAGCCCCAAACACGGACTCTTGCATTCCCAAGGAGGTGGGAGCCCTCCTGACCTTGGGTCATCCCAAGGTGGGAAAAGAGTTGCTTTAAAAAATGCCTCTTAAACAGTCCTTAAATTTCATAGTTGTTGGTTTTTTCTCTGTCTAGAATCTCAGAAAATTCTAGGGAGAAATTTTTCTTTAGCTGCAACTACCAGTACATGCAAATAGCTGCTCAACTCCCTAACTAACAAGTAGATCTGCAAAGTCCTTTTGGGCTTTATGGTGCATTTTTCCCCCTTTTCTATTTTCTAGAGACCACATTCTTGCCTATGGTAATGGAACATATATTTCAGACCATGCCAGCGGTATAAAGTAGAGATGATTTTCTTTTTTTTTTCAAAGAATTTTCCAAGTAAGAACTGTCTGCATTGGTCCGAGCTAAATCCTATAAAAACATCCATCCTTCAAGGCCTTCATGCACATTTACTCGGCGGCCTGAACATTGTGTTGTTTTGATTTGAAACTCATGCCTGTCAATAACCCTCTTATCAGTACAGAGCTGTGCAAACCTTTATGCATCCTGCCAATCATGGGAAGGCGGCCTGGGAGCCGGTTACGTGGGGTCACCTACTGCTCCCGGCCAGGTCTCCTAAGTGACATTGCTGGTCAGGAAAGGCTGCCAGAACGTGTTTTGTTCTCTTTTGCACAACTTCATTCAACAGGAGACGCATTTCCCGGATGCAAATCAGACAGACGGCCAGTTGGCTTGAACTGAGCACGTTTCTCTGCTTTGTGTTGTCTGCCACAGCCCTGCCGACTTTGGCTAATTCTCTGTGGGGTGTCTCGCGCCCTGGAGGGTGTTGAGCCCCGTCATTGGTCATTGTTCTGCTCCCACCAGATGCCAGGAGCTGCCCCCGCCCCCCGACCTTCTCCAGTTATGTTAGAGTTATCCTGGGCCGAGGGGGTAATGGTTTCCTGTTAGGGTTTGCGAAGGGAGTAACTCCTTGTGGGCAAGAATTCGCTTTCTGCAGCCGCCCTCCGCCTGTTCCGTTTCCCTGTTCCCGGCCCCGCTGGAAAGTCTCCAGGGTGCTCAGAGTAGGGCATTTGGGTGCCACACAAGAAGACAATTTGAAATCCAAGCCCCTGGAGTGAGTACTTCAGTTTGGATGTTAGCAAGTGAAGAAAAGTAAGCATCAGGATAAAATGTATATTTTCTTTTACAGGACAAAATGTCTTATATGGTGCCATATTTTTTTTAAAAAAAATCTATGGAAAGCTGTTTCTCATTACAACAATCTTCAACTCTTTGGAACGGTGCCCAACACATCTTGGTAAAAGTGTTGCCCTAAGTGTTATTTCTCATAATTAGCAAACCTTCTCATCTTTCTGGAATGTGGATCCCTCATCCATTTCTGAAGCTGTGTGAATCAGTATCTTGTAAAAGTGTTTGCTTCTGGTTTTCAGTAACTACAGGTTTCCTGAACTGAAAATGTATATCTTAAATCTTAAGAGAAAGTCCTTAAAACCTACCAGTGGCAACTGCAAAAAGCGGAGGAAAAGGTCCCATCAGAGGAATGAAGTGACCCGTGTTCTTTTAATGGAATGGTGTCAGTCACACACTGGAGTGTAAGCCAGCTGGGGCCCCCTTCTTATCTTTAACAAAGTGGGGGATTGGGAAGAGAAAAGTCCCCTAAGGCAGCTTTGTTAGAAAACAGAAAATATACCTCATAGAGTTAATTTTGTGCTCTATCCATGCAGTGGAGTATTACTCAGCCCTGAAGAGGAGGGGAGCCCTGACACACACACAGTGTGGATGGATCTGAATGCACGGTGCTCAAGAAGAGATGCGGACGCACGGGGACACACGGGGTGGGATCTGTTCACAGGAAACACCCAGAACACGCAGATCTACAGACAGAACATGGATTCCTGGCTATCAGGGGCTGGGAGAGGTGGAGTGGGGGTCTCCTTTCGGGGGTGGTGGTGGAATGTTCTGGAACCAGACAGAGGAGATGGTTGTATAACATGAGTGTGCTAAATGATACTGAATTGTACACTTTTACATCATTCCAGTGGTAAATTCTGTGTTGTATATATTTTACTATAATAACAAAATGAAACAAAGAACGTGGGGATAAAAATGTATGTTTGAGGTCAGATAAAATGGAATTTGCAACCCGCCTTTGATCCTGTTTCTAAGAAGTGGCTTGAGTCCTGACAGAAGTGAACCCAAGTGTGGCTACTTAGCACACCTGCCACGTGGACTTGCCAGAATCCAGGAGGCTGGATTTAACCCCCTCCTTGAACAAATGCATCAGGTCATCCTCTGGCTGGAGTCAGAATGCCGTCCATTTAGTCTTCCCAAAACAACACCTTTTCTCCCCATATTGCAGACCCAGCTGTCCACCTGGACACACCCTCCCCGTTGGAGATCCACAGTTTATTCTCTTGCAGGCTGGGAGCCTTGCAAATGATAAAAATGGGTGCATCTTTCCCACAACTGGTGCATTTTGAATCTGCAATGGACAGAAACCAAGCAACAGGACCGTTGCCCTCCAAGAATCACTGTAGGCATTTCCTACAGAGCCTTTAAAATAGCAATTGGTCCTTGGCCCCTTTATGTAGCCCATCCCAAGAAACATAATTTTCTTTTGTGCCCAAACCAGATGATTGTGTGTTTTGCTTTTGAGTCATTTTGGGCTCTGAGATTATATGTAACTGTGCATACATGGAACTTTCACAGATTCCTTGCAGGATGAACTCTGATTTGGACTTGATCTCCCTCACGGACCCCTGCTCGTGGTTTCCACCACTGGGTTTCCAAACAGCAGAGAGACAACATAATCGGTTTAGAAGCAAAACTTGCTGCCCCAGGAGAAAGGTCTGTTTGCTGGGAATGCCTGCACTGTGACAGTGTGGAGGAGCCCAGGATTGGAATGCCCTGGAAATATGACCTTGTTTCAGAGCCAACTCCGGGCTTCTAGCTGCAGAAACGGCACAGCTTTGCCTGGAATTGTCCTCGTGGTTGATTCCAGGTCTATTTTTCTTGGTCATCATCATACGAGCATCCCTTCTTGTTCTGGCCTCTCCACGTCCACAGCTACCGTCTACATAGTAATAAGACACTAATAATGGGTGGAATTAGGTGATAAAAAGTCCTGGGATACAAGCATCTTTTGCAGGCTGTGAGGCTGACTCTTGCTCGAAGAGTGTCTTGGGGTCATGGCAATCCCACCTGTAACGTAGCCAAGGATGCTTCTCCACCTCAGGGGCTTGTGCTGAGGTGCCGCAAGGCAGGCTTTATAGGATGCATTTAGATGTAAGATGGAAATCCTCTTGCAAGTAGGCAATTGTGTGTAAGATGCTGAAATCTACCTGGTTGTACCACCTAGTGGTGAAGCTCTAGTCCTGACTTATGTTCAAGTTCTGTATCAATAGCTTTTGTGGAGTAGATTTATTCCACTAGATCCTGTCTGTCCCAGAGTTGATTTATCCTTTCAACTGTGGGTGGACATGTGGGGTGTCAAATTCTCATTTATGGAGTGGATTTTATGTGTGTGAGAGAATTGGTACCCTTCTCAGCTGCCGTTGAGAAACGCCACACAGAATTATATGGCTTTACCATCAAAGAGACCCCATGAGTGTATCCTCTTTTTTTTTAAAGGCAGCATCATAGAATGCTGTCCTAGGATTATATCCCAACTTCTGCAGCCAATCCTCTTTAGAATGGACGTTTCATTGGCTTCAAGTTGAACCTGCTGCAACATTGCAGCAATTTTGGTCCTGCCTTTGGGGGGCCTTAGCTCAGGGTTTCTCCAGGGTGAGACATAGCTTAGGATTATTTCAAAATATTTTAATATTTAGTGGCAGCCTGTCCTCGCAAAAGCATTCACCAGCGGTGTGAAGGTAACTTTCTTAAAATTGCCTACTATTGAAAAATTATTAGTATTTTGATTGTGAGACACAGTCTCTTATGATATTTAAAATTTCCTTTTTCCGGTTGCTGAGGAGGCTATGCATATGTTTATGGGCTTATGGATTTTTAGTGAATGTATGAATTATGTGTTGACATCCTGTCTGATTTTACTGTTGCAATTTTAACCATTTTCTAATGTACTTATAGAAATTATGCCAAATGTTTTCTCCTCCTCTGAACATGTCCTGTTTGCTTGACTCATTCTATTTCTTGGCGTGTAGAAGATTTTGGTTTTTTTCTTCTCTCAATTGCTTTGATTTGTTTCCTGTGGTGACTGTAACAAATGACCACAAGATCGGGGTTAAAACAACAGGAATTCACCTTCTTCCAGCTCTGAGACCAGACCCCCTAGATCCAGGTGGGGCTCTGAGGTCCAGGCGGGGCAGGGATACGCTCCCTCCACAGGCCCCAGGGGAGGCTCCTTCCTGCCCCTTCCAGCTTCTGGGGGCTCCAGGCGGCCCTGGGCATGTGGCCACATCCCTCCCATCTCTGCCTCCATCTCCACACGGCTTCTCTGTGTCTGTCTCTCTCCTCTTCTGTCTCTTATAAGGACACCTGTCATTGGGTTTAGTGCCACCCTCATCCAGGACGACCTCATCTCATATCCTTTACTTAATAACATGTGCAAAGGCCCTGTTTCCAAACAAGCCCGCCCCCCCACCCACACTCCCAATAAGTATCAGATAATCCTACTCTCTAAGGTGTCCATGCCTAATCATCTTTGCTATTTCTGGACCACTGGGTGTTAACTTCTAAAAGCAAAAATACTACAACCTGGAAAAGTTTAAAAACTTTTTTCTCAGCTTTATGGAGACAGAATTGATATAATGTGTACGTCTGAGCTGTCCAATGTGATGAGTTGATATGTGTATATATTGCAAAGTGATTACCAGAAATGGGTTGGTTAACACATCCATCCTCTCACGCAGTTATGTTTTCCCGTCATGTGGAAGGTCCACTCCACTGCCCACGGACATCATTTTCCAGCTCTCACTCTTTGAGGGACTATAGTACAAGGACATCGACCTGCCTGTGTGTCTTCACCCATTCGGGGCTGCGATTCTTATATTGGCTCGTGTGTTCTTGGCCTTTCTCATATGGAAATTATTAATAACACAGCCTTAATTCATAGTTGGTTGAGGGGCGCTTGATGATTAAGTAATTATGAACACCTCTTTAAAGATGGCGAGCAAACAAAAGCAATTTGTAAAGCTACCCGGGCATATGCCAGTTTCACACGCCTGCGCATCACCAGAAGTCCAGGCTTGCCTCGCCCGTTTGCCCATCTTTGATAAAATCGTATGTTAAAAATTGGAAAAGCAAACAGGGAAGGTAGGGATTGGGGTGCAGGCAGAGATAGAAGAGCTTCCTGGATACCGACAGTCTTCATCATAGTGACTCTTACCAGTCGTGGGTTGGAGACATGTGTACTTATGAAATTAGGCTGAAAACAGCTATGATTGCTAAATTTAAAAAATGGCATTCTTGCTTCCACCAGCCCTGGGAAAAGTCTCGACTTGTTCAGTGTGTGCATTTGGTAGAATGCTGTGTAATGTGCCAGGCCGTGGGGTTGGAGACAGGAAAAATAGGGTACGAATTTTCAGGAGGTCACAATGGATGCAAACCTAATTCAGAAGTATTGATTAGGGGGTGCAGGGCCCAGGAAAGGAGACACCACCCAGAGTTTGGGAAGTGGGCTTTACCCAACACCCCAGGGGAGTCAACTTCTAGAAACAGCATGCCTGAGAGCTTTCTGGAGACCTAAGGTGAAGATATGACTTCGGAAATGGACTGACACACACACTTGAGGGTCAGAGATGTCATACTGAATCCAGGTCATCAATGTACCAGCCTTGTTAACCTTGTGATCCTCAATTCTATCTCCCATAAAACAGGAGATCTGTTATCAACCCTTTGAGGCAAGCAAGGGGAGATATTTAGAGACTCCAATAGGAACATGTGTGTGGAGGTGACTTGGGGGTAAGAAAGCCCTATAAAGTATAAGGTGGTGTTATTCATATTTATATGTCATTTGTCTCATGGACTGGCTTCTCAGCCCACACCATCTCACTGACCTGGGGTAGTTTGAGGGTCCAGACACTACCACTCAGTGGCCACTCATAACAGGCTGATAACCTGCCCTCCTGTGCCAAGTGGGTTTGGACACCACGGTCCATGTTATTTGTCAATGTACTTTTAAAGATGCACAGCATTGAAAACCTGCCCTATGTAGAAAAATGTTCTTTCTAGTAGAGTACCATACACATGGCACGTTTCACACAGTTATTGAATGCATGCTTGTTCATGGATGACTTTTGCTTTAGTAGCTCTGGAAAGAAGTTTCTAGTTGCTGGATCAACATAATCTGTGGATGCCTGCTGGTAGAAGAATCCTGAGGTGCATGGATCATGCATGCTTTCTGCCACATTCTCTGTTGACAAACGCCCCTTGTGTGAAATTAAGCATAAAGCATTTAGTGGGTCACCACGAATCAGGCTCATTAGCCCGTGGGCCATGAACTATCTTGCTATGAGAAGCCCTGTGTGCTTGCACATGTTGCTAGCTGATTCTTTTCTTCCACAGATAGCAGAGAAGCCATGAAACTGCCATGTAGGACTGGTAAGTGGATGAATTCAAAGGCCTTTGTGATTCTCCACATCTAGAGAGAAGCGTGCTTTGCTCAAATCTTCTCCTCTCTGGCTGAGGTTTGGTCTCTTTAACTTACCTGAGATGCGAGAAGGCTATAATGAGGGCTATGGATTGATGGAGTTGTGCAGGAGTGAGTTTTCTTAGAAAGTAATGCTCATCTTGAGAACGATAGCATGTGTGGGAATTCTTGGGGTAGAAGAAAGGATGTTCCAGCAATGGCCGCTGTACGAGGGGCGGTCATGGATCACAGTAGGGATTTTTAAGGAGGTCCATGGATGGGCCAACAGGTTGGGGGTAGTAGGAAACGAACATTGTCATTGGGGAGGCTTGTCCATCAAGTTGGGGTCCAGTATTTTAACACAAAGAGGACTGGGAAGCCACTGAGCTTCTTTAGGGAGTGTCATAAGATTTGTGTACGTATAGGGCCACTCTGCTTGTCTTCATTTTGGTGGGGCCAGGTGGCAAAAATGGGAATGGCCAGGCCGGTTAGGAGGGATTTGAAGTATTGAAGTAAGAGGTGCCTTGAGTGTCTTGGGGTACAGTGACAGGCTGAAGATGGACGTTCACAAATGGATTTAAGGTGTGGATTTTTTTGGGGACATATTACTAACTGGAGTTGGAGTTGATTGGGTGGGGACCTAGTTTCCTGCAGGAGAGGATGGGGCCCACCTTGTAGGGCTCACATCCAGGCAAGGGGTGCTGTCCCTTCTCAGCATATCATAGCATTTGGCAATTATGTAGGGTTGACCCTACAACCTAAACTTTCATTGAACATATAAATATGTTGGAGTTCCTCCTTCATATGTTAGAAGAATTCCTATTGTTTTTCAAATATGTATTTTTAATAAATTAAAAAATGCAACTAAATAATACATATGATACTAATATATAAAATAAATATAGTAATAAAGAAAATGAAACATGAGCAGCTGGCTATTAGCCTTTGATTGATTCTCCAGTGTTTACATTTTTATGCAAAGACATCAATTTATTAGGCCTTACACTCAACTTTAACAAGTATTATATTTTTCTTGAAGGGTCTCACAATCGTTGAAATGGCTTGAGATGTTACGGGCATTTAATGCCACAGTGCATGTGAAATGAGTCTGTAAATCATACTACATTAACATAAAGCATGACTTTAAAAAAAATTCTGCATTTGGGTAAGCCAGGTCACGCACGTTGCACAAGGAATTCTATAGACTTGATTGGAATTGATAAGGAATACCATTATTTCATGTTTTAAGTTGCCTAAAATGCAGATGTGAATGGATAGTTTCTGATTTTTTTTTTTTCTCTCTAAATACTTTCAGGAACTGCTGGCTGTCCGTGACACTGTGGTACCTGTGTGGGAGCCTTCACGGAAAGTTTTTGATGAGGAATGCCAGGCCCAATATTTTCCTGCTGATGGTGGACGATCTTGTGGTGGGAGATTTGTGCTGTTAAAGCAATAACACAATGAGGTAAAGAAGCCACCACACCGTGGACGGGAGAGCCCTTGAGAGGGTGGCCCCCAGGGAGCAGTCATCCCTAAGGACAGCAGAGGTCGCCCTGGGACAGCTGCAAAGGACAGAACTACTACTGCTGTTTCATTATTGTGGTAAGAGACCCCAAAACACGGATTCACCTTCTAAATCATTTAAAGCACACAGTTCAGAGGCATTTAGTCCATCCACAATGTTGTGCAATCATCACCTCTGTTTAGTTCCACAACGTTTCAGCCCCCCAAAAGGAAACCGCATCACCATAAGCAGGCATTCCCCACCCTCTCCCCCAGCCCCCTGGCATCACTCACCTGTTTCTGACTCTATCAATCTGCCTGTTACAGACAGTGCATATAAATGCCGTCATATAATGTATTAGTTTGTGAGGTGGCATAATAATGCATCATAGGCAGGGCAGCTCACACAGCAGTATTTCTCTCCCCTCTATCCTGAAAGCTGGACCCCGAGGTCCAGGTGTGGGCAGGGCGGGTCCTCCTGAGCCTTCCTCCGGGGCATGTGGAAACCATCTTCTCCCTGTGTCCTCACGGGGTCGTCCCTCTGTGTGTCTGTGTCATCTCCTCTTCTTAAAATATTAGATCAACAAAATAGGCAATAACTAAAACTCCAAAATGTCCTAGTTTGGTTATTTAAAAAAGATAGATTTTAGTATAGGAAATACATTATGATTTTACTTAACCTAAGTTACCCATTCATTTTAAGAATATGGAATGATTAAATTGACCAATTTTTCCATTGAAATGCATATTAACTTAGACTGGCAATACTTTAATTCTACATGGTGATCCATGCTAAGTTGTCATCGTTTTGCCCGAACATATAGCGTTTTACACTCTGCTTCCATTTCCTCTAATCATGGATGCATTTAAGTAGGTAGACAAATTGATGTGCAAAACACTATGTGTTACTGGAAAGAGAATCATCTCAACCAAAAACAGGAAGACTTTGCATTTTGGTAATTTTCTTGAGAATCAGAAAACTCATATCTGAATTTCCCTTCTGTCTGCAGCACCTCTAATATTGACTGCCTGGCAAGTGAGGTGGTGAGAAACACCCAGAACCTAGCAGCTGCCTTCGTATGTACCCCAATTTGGGCTGCTTTCCTGACTGGCTGGTACCCCATAAGATCCGATGGGCCACAGGAAGCCAACAGCATTTTTTTTCTCATAACAATGCTTTATTATAATTTATTCTTGCATTTCTTCATAAGAACCCTCAAAACATTGCTCAAAATATTAAGAATCAAATCCACCTGGGAGGAGTCTTGCTATGTTTTGACAGCTTAAACTGACTTGTCTGTTGACATGTGCCACCAAAATTGCTCACCTGTTTGGGCCTCTTGAAATGATTCCGACTTATGTGTAGTATTTCCAGATACTTGAAATGATATCCCTCAAAATTCTCCACATCTCTCACAGCTGTGCAATGCTCTTAAGTTATAATTCTTAAAAAAGTGGGTCTGTACAGCCTCTAGAGATGAGGTTGGAAGACATGTGACTAAAAAAAACGGAGAGTAAATGAGAATTGTAAATATTCACATGTGTACACTCATGCACAATCTTAACATTTAGACTTACCTAGTTGAGTGTAGCAACCATGAGTTAATATTTTCCTTGGTAGTTTAGCTTCGACTCAACATTACGAATACCAATTTTTATACCCAGCTAAACAGTGATGCCTCTGGCATCTATTGAGGTACTGAGGGGCTCATTGCTCCAGACTACTAAGTCTAACATCTACTTTGGTGCAATTTTAATATGTCCACCCTTGCAGTGAAATTTCTCTGAGTTTTTCTCCTTTCTTTTTACCTTCCCTTCTACCACGAGAAGGGGTAGCACCTCATCTGATTAGCTCTAGGAAATGAACTAATCAGGTTAATTTGAATCACGTGAGCATGAAGAGTGAACAAACATGAAAATTTCTTGTCCCATGAACATTGATGTATTGCTGTCTATTTTTGTCACTCAAAGGAATTTTTTTTTCATAATTCAGTGTTCTCAATTTTGTTCAAAATCGTTTGGTTGCCATATAAGTTTTCTCTAAACAATGAATTCTTGTGTGTGAATGGGGATAAAGATGCATAAGTATATGAGTTTCAAAAGAAATCAATTATATTTATTATTTCAGGAGATTCTAAATATTGACTAAGTGGAAAAAAATGCATTTAGTGACTATAAAGAAAACAGCTAAGTGGTTGAAGTACTCTTCAGTCAATTCATTGCCATTGTTTTTTTTTTTTATTTGGCAAAAATCATTGAACTTAATTCTTCCTACTGCCAAAAGAGATTCAATCCCAAGAAAATATTCTAATATTTGCTTTAAATAAACAGGTTCTCTTCTCAATCAGGGACATTACCTTATCCAACTTGTTCCTCTTCTAGGCTAGGACTCTTGAAACGACCACTTAATACTTACATCCCTTGCTTGTGGGTTCCATGTGAGTTGAATGTCCTGCCAATTTCAAGCCCTCAAAAGGCAAAGAAGCATGTTTTGCTTCACTCGTTTTTCATAAAAGCTGGAATTCCTATATTCCAGTCCATATTGCTTCAACGTGGATTACTACCTAAATGGATTCAACGTGTGGGACTGGTCTTGCTCTTGCTTTCTCCCAGTGACAGCCCAAAAATACTTCTCTGTCCAGGAACGATTGGCAAGTGCATCTATTTATAGATATCTGGTTTTACATTTTATATGCTTCACACAAGCCATGCTGACGTGAGTGTAGATAGAGCTCATCTTGGCACAGCAGCTCCCTTGCAGGTTACCAACTAGAAGCAGAATGAATGGCGGTGTGGATGTTTGTTGACCTCCTTTCTCTGCTCTCTTAGTTGGGGGCGCAGGAGACTTGACAGCAGATGGTACAGTACGACTCCGTGGGCTTAATGAGTACGTAATGGGACCTTGTCCACTGTGCTTGCGTAACTGTCACATCCATTCTTTGCTCTAACACAGTGATCAACGGTGATACAGTCTCTCAGGTCTGTTCATCCTACCTGTCACTCCTTCCTACCTTGGGTTTTGCTTGTCTTTGAGGGAGCATACCCCATCTCAGTCCCCCTCCTCCTCATAATGCCAGTTGTGAAAGTGCATGGAACAGTGAATTTAGGATGACTGCACGTGACATTAAAGTGAGGAACACAAAAATTCAGATGCACATGAGAGCAATTTATTTGTCTCTTGTTATTAGCCCTTTAGGTCTTATTTTGCTACAGTTCCGTGCAAGCAGCCTCATGGCCCCAAAGTTAATGCCAAAGCTCCAGCCATCGTGCTTATGTTTCAGTCAGCACAAAGGGTGAGGAAGAAGGAACGAAGAGCGTTTTCTGCAGAAGCCATGCTGTCTTTGTAAGAGTTATTCACGTGGACACTCTTAGAGATCGAGGAATCTGCATTCTGGGCAACCATTTAAGTGTTCATGTTCAGTGTCAGGTCTGTGTTCCTGAGGGGCACAGGGAAGTGGAGAGTGAGGAGCGGCTGAAACCTGAGGGCAGTACATCTGTGTGCTTCGGGTATGATGGTTCCACACCCATGTCTGAGAGGCCATTCTCAGCCAATAGATGGGGGACAACCCATATGCGATTTTTATTCCTTCATCTGTTCAGCAAAGATGAAGATTTATGAAGCTGCTATTTTATGTCAGATGCTAAACTGGAGGCAAGGGATGGGAAGCCAGATGACACTTGGTATCTCCTGCTAACACCCCTCGTCCGTCACCTCCGTTCCTCCTCACATCCTTTCCTACAAGTCTTGCTGTGGTATCGATTAGTCTCCTGAGCAGTAGGTAACTTAAGTTCATAGAAAGCCCCCATCAGCCATGATGAGGTGTTTCAACTAATGCAGAATCACATCCAAGTGTAAAAACTGCTTTTATTTATGAAGATAACTAGACTGGCCTTCTTCCCCTTGGGTATGAACGTGGATTCTTCCTCTTTGTTTCCTTTCTGCACGTCCACACACCACCCGTCACCAGAGAGAAGTTGGTTGGGCACCGTGAATATGGATTATATGGGGATGATGAAGAAGAAATGGATTGGATGGTGGGCAAGTCCCCAGGAGAACAGCTTTATGTATCTGGTTCAAGCGCTAGAGAACACAAGTCTTTATGAATTGCCTCAAATAAAGTAAAGCCCCTTGTTCTCTTGGGCAGATGATAAATATTTATTTTACTGAATGGAATTAAAAGCTCCCTCTCGGTTCAGCCAAGCCAGTGACTCTTTCCCGAGAAAATAGTCACGATTTATGAACACAGTGTTTCTCATCTTTAAAATCGAAATAATGGTGACGTTCCCCCCAAATTCCTTAGCAAGATAATGAAGTTGTGCAGTAAAGACTACTGTCATTCCTCAGCCTCTTGATGGATTTAAAAGGAAGCATGTTGTTCTCATTAGTTTTGCAAGCAATGCTTAGAAATGTCTTGTCAGAACTGAAATCTTTTGTTTCGAAGTCATAATGGTCACTAGAGAAAATAATACCCCGGGTAATAAATTAGAAGGAGGTCCAGCTGATGTGCAGTCAGGTGGGAGGGGTCACTACACGCACACCAATATAGTAGATAACTATGCTATTAAAGCAGCTTTTTCCCTCACTTCACACAGGACAGAGAATTCCTTCATCTCCACAAGGTAGGGTGTTTTGCTTTGAGACACAATAAGCAGAATACATTTCTTTCTTTTTTTTCTTCTAGGGAAGTCTTTTGAAAAGTGGGCTACACAGAGCCACCTAAATGCATATTCATAATTAAAACATTCTAAATGTAATTTATTTTCAATCTATTTTAAAATGTAATAAATATACATGCATACATACTCCACAGTAGAGATTTATATAAACACACTTTCAACTAATTCAGAACCTTACCCAAGTGGAGAAAAGGCCTTGATTCATGAAGATAACTTTGTATACATACACGCAGTGTAAGTCAATATTTACATAGTTTTTAATCCTGCAGCAGATACACACAAGCACCGAGAGTTACGTAAACATGTGACAGTAAACACAGCTGTAACACTGTAACGAGTAGAATTTTAAATTGTAACTCCAGTGTGATTTAGGATTATGTTTTCTTTGCTGGGTGTGTATTATTGTCTAGGAAAATCTTTCTTGGTGTTTCTGAAATGAGTCATTTTGCATTTGAATCATTAGTCACAGGGCAGTTCTCTGCAAAGGGAATCTCAGTCCAGGTCTCTACCTTTTGTCAGTCACTAACAGATCATTATGTTTACTCTATAATCTATGTGAATACAGGATGCAGGTGTGTTATAAAAGCGATTAATTGCATTCCATAAGGAGCTAAAATGGTTCACAATAGAGAAATGAAAAGTTGACATTTCTCTGCATAACATTTCCCCAATACGATTTTCCCCTTCATTTCTTATGAAAATCTCATCACAACCAAAGGCCAGTGAAAAATCAGTGAACTATCTCCTGTGTATGTTATTTTCCTACTTAAAATCCGATTGCAAAATTCAAGGTTGTTCAGTAAGTTACTTGCCCGTCTCACTAATAAGCTGTAACTACACCACTCCCAAAATGACTCGCACAGTGAACTTACTGAGAGCTTAGGGTTTATTAACATTTAAATTTTGAACATTGTATTCAAGCATTTGCCTTTTAAAGCTATTTATAGCCACTTTTTATCTTTGACATCTTTCCTTGTGTTTTGTCTGGCATTTTTTGTTTCCATGTGCATTTACCTCTGCACACATGCATGCATAAAGATTCACATATATGTATTTCCAAAACCAAAATGGATTTGTATCTATTTTATTTCCTTGTTGTAAGTTACAAATCATCCCTATGTTTGATATGATATCCACCTCTAGTGAGAACTGATCATGTGTATATAATTATTCTCTTCCCAGGAAATCAGTATAATGTTTTTTCTTAGAAAACAAGGGCTGTCCCAAAGAAACCCACTTGAGTTCTAGTGGCAGCGTTTCTAATAAATGGCTTCTCAAACAAATTGCTTTTCAACAGTAATTAAACAGGGAGGTTAAGGAGTTTACATTTAAGTGCAGAATCTTCTTGCAGCTAGTTACATGGACTTTGCATCGTTGAATGATAGAAGATTGTGGTTGTGGTGGGGGGGTGACACTGCACCTAAGAAGCCTGGGATGGTGTTACCCCTTTGATGGGCACATGCCAAGCAGGAATCAAAAGTAAGTCACCATAGTCTGGGACATGGTGAGGTTAGCCGTCTACTTATTTTTTCACATGTTATTTGTCCACTTAAAGGATTGTGGGCACGTACACACAAGGGTCCCTGAGTCGAGCAGAGTATTAATTATCATCAGGTATTTCAACACAACCCAACAGCAAGAATAACCTGGAATTGAAAGCAGACTTGAGAGCGTGACAGATCCTCCCGAAGCAAGTGTGGGCCTTTGCCTAGTTATTCCTGGGAATGCCATTTTAAAGCTATTATTTCTTTTTATTAATGCACCTAAGTTTATTTTCACTGCTGGACTTGACTCCCATTGGCTATTTGAATTGTTGTGGATGATGGTAACGGTGTACATTACATATGATTACACACTTTGTAGTATATGTGTGCATATGTAAAATATGTTGTGTGTATTATTTCTTTATTTGTATACACATTATATAATTTATAGACTACAGTATATTTTCTTATTTAAGGAAACCATAGTATTATATAATAAGATGCTACACTGAATGTTAAATAAAATTACATATTGCATAACAAAATAAAATTTATTAGAATTGTATAATAATTTTATAATAGTATGATTACATAATATATAATTGTTAATAATAGTATGCATCATATTATATACAATTGTTTATTATATATCATAAGTTATATATTGATAAATTTTAAGTTTTACAGTTATAATTGTCATATTTTACATATTGTGTATTATGTATTTTATATAATGTAATATATAATACTCAGTATTATAAAGAATAATACATATTTATATATAGTGTTTGTGATTATATTATAGTATATATTGTATATTCCAATTATTATAATAAATATTTTACTATAATATAAACACCTTTTATATTTATTATATAATAATGAATTCCATTTATGATGATAGATTACATATTTATTATATATTAATATTAAATACCTTTGTTAAATATAGTGCATAACAGATGGTATGATATATAATATATACTATATCATAAATATAATTATAGAAATATAAAGTTAAATATTATTGTATGTTTTATGTAGTATATTGTACATAATATATATTGTGTATAAACAATATAATACATATTTTATGTATTTTATGTATACTGTTACATATGGTATACCTGTATCCGAGTATCATATAACAGTGATTTATTATGAATGACATTTAACTGTCCTCTACTGTGTAAATGTGTGACAATAAGCACACAATGGAATGCCAGTTTGATTTTGTTTTTCAGAAATAGCTCTAAAAATATCATATCTTCATTCATTTATATTTTACTTTTCAATGGGAAACGGAGACGAATTACTTCATGAGATTCTGAAAGTCATGCCTGCTTTGGAAAAACACATTGAGCTATTGCCCAGGGGTCTTTTTGTAGACATGGCTTTTTAATTTCTTTTGGGTAAATGCCCAGGAGTGGGAAATCTGGGTCATATTATTGATATGTGTTTAACTTTATGAGACATCATCAAGTTAATTTCCAAAGTGGGTGTACCATTTGGCATTCCCGTCAGCAATCTATGAGACTTCCAGTCGTTCTACATCTTAGTCGCACTTGGTATGGTCCATTATTTAAAATTTATCTACTGTAATAACTGCACTGGAATCTCATTGTGGTGGTAATTTGTGTTTCCCTAGTGGCTAATGTGTTAAACACCTCTCCATGTACTTATTTGCCATCCACATCTCTTCTTTGTGAAGTGTCTGTTCAAATCCTTTGCCCATTTTTCAATTGGGCATTTTATTTTTTTATCATTGAGCTGTGACAGTTCTTTATGTATTGAAAGAGTTCTGTGTTTATTCTGGATACAAATTCTTTATCTGGTATGTGTTTTGCCCACGTATCTTCCATTCTCTGGCCTGTGCGTTCATTTTCTTACACGATCATTTGAAAAGCAGATGTATTCAATTTTGATAAGAGCCCATTTATTTATTTTTTTTAGGGATGGCAATTTTTAGGATATATCTAAAAAGCATTTTCTTATTCCAGAGTGGCAGAGATTTCCTCCTATTATTTCTTCTGGTAATCTTACAGTTTCCAGTTTTACATTTACCTTATAGGTCCATAGTGAGTGAATTTTTTATAGAGTGTGAGGTATAGGTTGACATTTATTTTTCTTGCACATGGATGTTCAGTTGTTCCACTGCCATTCACTGAAAGGTTGTCCTGCGGAATTTCCTTGGCATTTACTGAAAATCAATTGACAGCATGTGCGCGGCTGTATTTCTCACTCTCCTGTTCCACTGAGCCACACGTCTATCCTTATGTCAACACCACACTGCCTTGAGGACTAGTGAGTTTTGGAATCATGCAGTGTGAATGCTCAACTATTTCTCCTTTTTTCAAAATTATGTATGATATCTTAGGTTTTTGTTTTCCCAGGTGAATCTTACATTTCTCAATGTTTACAAAAGACCCTTCTGGGCGTTTGATTGAGACTGCATCCAAGTTTGAGATGGTAACAATTTTGAGTCTTCCTATCCATGAACACTGTTTATTTCTTTCCTGCTTCTCTTTGTGGATATTTTGTGGCTTTCTACGTACAATTTTTTTTTAAATTTTTAAATTTTTATTACTTTTATTTTGGTATCATTAATCTACAATTACATGAGGAACATTATGTTTACTAGGCTCCCCCCTTCACCAAGTCCCCCCAACAATCCCATTTCAGTCACGGTCCATCAGCGTAGGAAGATGCTGTAGAATCACTGCTTGTCCTCTCTGTGTTGCACAGCCCTCCCGGGCCTCCCCCCACTGCATACAAAATTTTAACATGAAAAAGAAGGTATCCCTAGATTCCCTCCTGACTTTGGTGCTTTAGTAAATGGTACTTAAAAAAAATGTGATTCCCAGTTGTTCAGTGCTAATATATTTTTTAAATTTGGTTTCTTGATCTTATGACCTTGCTAAACTTACTATTTCCAGTAACTTCTGAAGGGAGTGTCAATGCAATCAATCTATCTGAGAATATAGACAGTTTTATTGCTTTTATGATCATTTTTAGGATTACCTGAAACTTGTTCCATTTTCTACGATGAAGCAGGTTTTATTATTACTGTCTCCTAATATAAGGTAAAAGATACATTTTCTAATATAAGATGAAAATGTACTTTCTTTAGAGGTCTTATAAAATCTCTTTTCAGGGTGACAGTACAACTCAAAACAAAATTCTGATTTGTGAAATAGGAACCCTGGGCTTTTGAGACCACCTGTGGTTAGAGCCACAGCGCCCTTTGGGTGCACATGCATTGATGCAGTCCTCTGCCTGTCATTTCACTATAAACGTTTTGATTATTTTTCCCTTCCCACAAGAGTACCTCCCTGAGAGTACGCATGGATGTTCTGCGGAGTCATCTTACCTCTCTCTGGGCCTGGGGGATGCCACAGCACGCACTGACTTCAGCTCTTACGGCCAACAACCCTCACCTTATCTCCTATTTGTGTGTCTGCAGGGTGATCGACGGCCACAACCTGATGCCTTTGCTTCAGGGACATGTCCGGCGCTCAGAGCATGAGTTTCTGTTCCACTACTGTGGTGCGTACCTCCACGCCGTGCGCTGGCACCCGATGGGCAGTGAGTAGACCAGCCCCTTCCCCTGGTGCGTGCCCAGAGTAGGCTCATTCGTGGTTAATTCTTAGCACTCTGTCTCTTTCTTCTCCCTGGACCAGTCCTTCCCTTCTAGGGTTTCCACTGCACATACCTTCTCAGGAAAGCTTCTAAGAATCGCTCTCCTCACAAAGGCAGGGGGATATCTTGGAGAAATATTAATTTGGAGGAACAGATAGAATGGCTGCTGTGAAAGATGTGTGACATTCTAGTATTCCTCTAAGGATTGAGTGGCATTTAGCATTCACCTGTGGGCACAAAGGAAGGCCAGAAAAGTGCTTGGGAAAATAGAATGCAAGGGCAGTTGGCACACGGGTTGGGTATTTCTGCTGTGTCTCTTCTTCTTCTCCAGGTGAGGTGGTGTGGAAGGTTCATTATGTGACGCCAGTCGTCCAGCCACCAGGAGCTCAAGCCTGCTATCAGAGTGTGTTTTGCCAATGTTCAGGCCAACGGGTCACCCACCACGACCCTTCTCTGCTCTTTGACCTCACCAGAGACCCCTCGGAGTTCACACCCCTAACACACGACGCAGAGCCCTTGTATGATACAGTGATCGAAACAGTGGCCAGCACCCTAAAGGAGCACAAGAAAACCATCCTTCCGGTCCAGGAGCAGCCGTCAGAACTGAATCGTAACAATATATGGCTGAAGCCTTGCTGTGGGGTAGTCCCATGCTGTCTGTGTGACAAGGAAGGGGGACGCCTTAGTTGAGGGGTCATGACAATAAGCCACGGTGGAGAACAGGCAGCCAAAGTCTGCTAATTTTAGCTCTTTCCCGTTTTCCAGGAATGCATTTGAGCGCCAATAAATTCATCTATTGTTCCAGATAATCAAATGTGTGTTGGTGGTGACGATTTCCACTAATTTCTTTTCCATTCTTGAGGATAAATGTTGATCTTGTTTCCAAGTTTTCAGACATCTCTTTCAGGGCTGGGACACATGCACTGGCATCCATTTGTCCCATGAGCTCTGTTGTTCTTCAAAGTAAACTCTACTTATAAAGAACCATGTACAAACAAGTCATTGATCGGGAGAGGCCAAACACGCAGCATTTAATAATAATGCATTGAAAGCATCCATCCCAAAGTGGTCAATAAGCCAAGGGAAGGATTTATTTTTGTCCGCAATCAAGATAAATTGAGTCAAGAGTGGTACAGCTTTGAGCCTATGGTAGTTTACATAGCAGCTGGTCGCCTTATCGTCTGGGAGGCAGTCCAGTCATTGATGCAACATTGCCCAGAGCAAGGTGATCCCAGAGACCAAAAAGAAGTGGGGACCAAATACCTGGGAAGGTCATCAGCATCGGCTTTCCCCTGAGGATGTGCCAGACCTTGATGGAGTATCTTATTTCCCTCTTACTCCCCATTTATGCTTAAGTATAATTCCTGGCAGTTTCCTAGGGCTGCCTTAACAAATCACCTCAAATGTGGTGGCTCAAAACAATGGAGATGTATTCTCTCTCAATTATGGAAGCCAGCAGCCCCAAATTCAAGGTATTGGTAGGGCCAGGCTTCCCCTGAAATTTTGATAAGGTCACATTCACATTTCCAAATCAGGTAGCAGGATTTAGGACATCCACATGTCTTTTGCGGGGTTAGAATTCAAGCAACTCCTCCCCTATATAATGGATGAAATATGTGGGGCTTGGAAATGTTCCTGTAATGTGCTCAGGAGAACACAGCTTGTTAAGTTATGGGGCTGAGACTGACCCCCCCGGTCATATTGACCCCAAACTCCGATGCACACCTATCCCATGATGCCTTGCAGGCTGTAATCCCAGGAGGAACACAATTATGTGTGTTTGATCCCTTTTAACATGACTCTATTCTTTATTGTCTATACTAAGGAGTAAACGGAGACTAAAAATCAAATGCAAATCACTGTATTAATATTGGATATTGAATAAAGATTTATTTGACTCCGAATGGGCAACCATCTTGGGCCTCATTAATCCATCAAAGGATTGTGTATAAAGGTGAGTCATTTCTCTACCCCAACTATTCTAAGGTTTCCAACACACCCTTGTTTTAGCATTACCTCACGAGAAGATTCATTTTGAATTTTGGCCGTTGTAGAGTAGAATTTTAGAACTTCAGCCTCAGAAAGATGCTCCGAGATTATCTCCTCAACTCCTTTTATTTTGTGGATGGAGAAAACCAAGTGTGCAGAGGTCAGGTTGCATAACTGTGGCCACATCACAGGGTACACAGGACCACTGGCTGCAGACTGCGGGTGTAGACACTGAATTCAGGAATTCCAATGCTTTTTGGTTTTCTCCCTCTACCTTCTCTCATGATACACTGACCAGAACGTCGGAGGACAAAGCAAGCCATATACAGGCAAGGAGACGCTTGTTTTTCTGCACAGAGTTACCGGCAGAGATGAAAAACACAGTCAGGTGGGTATGACAGCCGGACTCAACAGAAGCTATGTTTCGTGTTCCCTGGTGTCTCTGGGCAAAGTTCCTGCTTTAACCGTTCCATTTGCAAAATGCCAGTAATAACCATACCTACCTCATAGAATAATTGTGAACATTCATGGAGAAGATCCTTATAAAAAAAACACTTAGCACAAAACCCGCGGAGTACTAGATAAATATTCTCTTTTCTGTTAGCTAATTCAGAGGTACCTTAAAATGAACACGTAAGGGGTATCATAAATCAGAGGTACAAACCTTTGTCCTTGGTCAAAACACTCCCAACTGGGTAATTAATTAACTATCCTAGAATGAGCTTACAAATTATAAAATTCTGTCTACGTACATAGTTACTTAAAAATTGTTCTTCTAAACTAACATTGGGGAAGACTGTGCATGTGTGGGGAAAGGGATATATGGGAAAGGTCTATACCTGCTTATCAGTATTGCTGTGAACTTAAAACTGCTCTAAAAAATTCATTGCACATAAAAAAAAATCTTTCCTCTCTCCCATACACAATATTTTAATAATCTAAGTCTTATTGAGCATTAGATTCTTGAGGTTCTTAAACATCAGATTAATTGAACCGCTAGAGGGCGCACGAATACAGCCGTGTGCACAGCTGATTCAAAGTCCTTGATACCAACTTTTACAACGAATGCATTTCTCTCATTTTTATTAAGGTACATACGTTTAAATTCCATCCCTGAAAAAGGACTTTCCAAGGGTTAGACACCCTTTTCAAAGGGTTTCCTCTGACTAAATCAAGGAATTCACCCCCAGATGCCTCTGCCTTGAGTATCTTAAGTAATTACGTTGTGTATAATATATGCATATTATATATGTAATATATATCATAGATTATATTATAGTTATGTGTTACATGTAGAATATAATTTTGCAACATATATTATATGTGACATATATAGTGTATAGTATATTACATGAAACAGTAACATTATATATTTAATGTATATTGTAATTATATATATTGAGCTACATGAAACATGTATAATTATACGTGCCCGCCCCTCAAACTGATAAGAAGGGATGTATGACCTACACTTTCGGATAGTAATAGCAGAAAGCAAAAATTAAAGAAAGACACACACACACAGAGAAGAATGAAAGCATATAATTTATCATTTGGATTTTTCCAAGGAAAAATACATTGATTACAGCCAGTATTTGTGATCTATTTTGGCTCATCCATCCCGGCCCTACTGAGCATTCACCAGGCAGGTAGAAGATTGCAGGCACTGCAAACTTGGAAGAAAGAGGCACCTTCTCTTCTGTCCTGAGACCCTCTAATTCCTGAAATGGAAAAAATAAAAAATCAGAGGTGGGATATGGACACAAATAATTCCTATATGCTTTGCTTCCATCAACACCTGCTCTTCTGATCTTGGATATAACTTATCTAAGGAAGTGGTGCACCGACCTGGAACGGCATTTTAAAATCTGAATCTGTGAAATGTGACTTTGGCACCTCGTGGGCTTCAGGAGTAAAATCCTAAATTGGATGCCCAGGAAGATGGTAAAGGTTGGGCTTAGGTGATCTTGGGACTCAGTTACCAAATGGCTTTGGGGCCCCAGCCTCTGATTAGACTGTTTCCTTCACAGTCTTGTAGGAAAACAGTGGGAGATACAGATGTCCTGAGCCTCCAAGTAGTAGCATCTGTGCTGGTTGCTTGTAATTATTTTTCTCATGAATTAAAATCAACTTTGAAGCAGGACTCAAGGGATTGTTGGGTGAGGGGCAGGTATCCAGCCACGTCTAGGTGACAGTCATGGAGAAATGGGAATTTCCCAGGGGCATTTGCGGGGTGGTAATTAGGGTTTCTGATTCAGAAAGGTTGCTGCTGCTCCCCCAAGGATGCCTTACTCCATTTCCCATTGCATTTAAATGAAAGGCATGCAGGCTCCTACTAGGAAAGTGCCAAACATCCCACAGCGCTCTCTCCTGTGTCCTCTCTTTAAACTGCAAAGAAATCCTAGCTTCCTCTTAGCAGAATCTGGATGTGCGATCCAGATGCCCTGTCACCTAGACAGCTACATTTAGGGCTCTGCTGAGGGAGGGAGGGCTCCAAAAATCAAGGTGCAAGAGACACGCACATCTGCCATCAATGCTTTATAATAGCCAAATCTATCTTTGTGGGTTCTCTGCCTGGGTACCGGCGACCTGAGCACGTTCAGTTGTGGGATTGGCTACATAAACTTCAGGGTGTGGTGGAGAATGAAAACGTCAGGCACCTTTTTCCAAAGCTCTTAGGAATTCCAGGATGGTGACACTAGAGTATTAAGCCAGGTGTGGTGCTCCATTCTAAGAAGGGGGGCTCTTTAGGACAGTCTGGGACACCTATCATGCTGTGTGTCCTGACTGCAGGTGGCAACTCTCTGAATCTCTTCTAGATCCTGCAGCCATGATCTTGGACAAGCTCCTGTACTTCTCAAAGCATCTCTGCCATGTTCGGTGGGGCTGGACAAGCGCGTACCTGTTCCTAGAGCCTCAGTGTTTGAGTTAAGCGCTGTGTTCAGGTGACTTGGAGAGACAGGAAGCACAGCTGTTGGGAGGATCCAGGAATGGGGGAAGAGACGTGGTTTTAGAGTTGATGTCCAAAGCTGTGCGGCCCCCAACAGCTCCCTGAAGGCCTTTGTGAAATAGGGAAGGGTGGTTGGGATGTCAATGTCACAGATCACGGAGAGAGGCTTATAGGATGTTCTGAATGTGAGGAGAAGGCGGTGGTGGGTTTTAAGGAAGGCAAGTCTTTAACCGGCAATCGCTCTGGCTGCTTTGTGGAAAGAGGAAACAGTGAAGGGTCCTCAGTGAACAGAGGACGGGAGGGGCGGCATCAGCAGCTCTAGGAGGCGGTCAGTGACGGTGAAGAGCAACGGCACTGTGAATGGCAGACACACACCTGCGTTGGAAGCACGTATTAGCAAGAAAAGTAATCGGCCATGCTGGCAATGGGGTGCTGGGTGCAAAGGAATGGCAAGGGTGCTCAGCGCTCATGAATTCTTGCTCCTTTAAGCCCCTGGGGGCATGATGATGCCATTTGCAAAAAGCTGGGTGGAGAAGCCTACAAGCCCCAAGTCTGAGATGCCATCACCAAGATACTCAAGAGGAAGTCCCAGGCAGGTGGTGGACGCTGAAGATGGGTTGAGAGGCACTTGGGAGAATGGACTCCATCCACACCGGCTGGTTTCCTTGATCTTGCCCATTTTTGTCCCATGTTGGCTCACATTGGTTCCTGCCTTCAAAAAGCACGTTTTTGACAAATATGTTTTTTTGTTTTCTTTCTGATGTTCCAAGAACGAATAACGATCCTCCTTTAGCACAGAGCAGTTCAAAGTCTTGTCATCTGTGCTGATAAATTCATTACCTACAAGGGGATAATGTGTGACCAAGTTAAATGAAGAAACGACCAGACCGCTTCTGATCTAGTGATTTCCTCTCAGGAATGAAAACTAGCTTAGAAGCAGATTTTTGAATGTTTCCTATGTTCATTCAGCAAACATGTCATGCATGTATCGTTCACCCATGAGAGTGTGCCGTGAATGTGGACCTGGATCTTATGTTGTCATCGAAGAACAGATAAAGAAGGAAGTGGGAGATCCTTCTGAATTAGTGTTGGGAGAAGTGGGTTTACGTGGAATACAGCACGGTCACACAGTTAGTGTAATTTGGACCATGTTTCATTTCCAAATGTTAATGCAAAGGACTACTGTGGTTTCCTGTGATGCCTGGCCAACCGGGCTCTGGGGAACTGGGAACTCTAGTCTGGGACCTGTCTGCAAATGGTTTCATGACGTGACACAGGTTCATGGAAATGTGCGGTTCGAAGGTCTTTATAGATCTCAACATTCTGTCTTGTAAATCATGTTCCTCACCTGCGTACATGTTCTGCTTTCTCTAGAGTCTCTTGACCCAACTATTTCTTGAAAGTAGGCATGCACACTTGACCAAAAGCTGCATCAAAGTCTGCTAAAATCTGATGAGGCCATAAGAGTTACATGTTGATCTGTACATTTCCAACTTGTACCTGATGTTTTATCCTATTAGTCATTTGAATATCCCAAAAGCTACATTTGGAAGATGCCCTGTGAATGGGGTCCCAGGGTTACTGCAATGTTTTCCTCTGTACGTTTACAGTATTTATGGGGAATGGTAAGGTCTAAGGAGAGAGGACAATGATGTTTGTTACGAACTCTGTGAAGCTTTGGATTTGGGCTGGGTTTCTCTGGTTCCCTCCCAGGGCCAAGAGTGGAGGGAGAGAAGCGTGTTCCCATTCCACATGGTGCAGATTCGTCAGCTTTGTGGATGAGCCTGGGAGACACCCCTCAGGGCCTCCTCTCCGAGTTGGAGAAGGATTTGACAAATACTCCAGTTGGCCTGTGAGAATGTGGTGTGGACACAAGAACAAAAAAGAGGGCTCCCCAGTGCTCATGACACGATTTCAAAACCAAACTTGCGCCTGGATGAAGGTAAGTGTTATCATCATGCTGA